TTTCGCTGGCGGCGTAATTAATCATCGCGAGCGATGGCCGAGACTTTTGCTGACTCCGTCCACCTGAGACGCTATTATTACGGGTAATATGCGGAAATGCTCGCGAGATCGTCTGGCCGAAATCGTTTCCTCGCGAACGGAGTCGTCGACGAAGAATTTCTGATCTCGTTTCACGCGGTTGCAGTTGTTTTCTCCGGAATATTTTATGGTTAAACAGGCTTGCAATGTTACTTCGAGTACGTCGTTCGATATTTTGACAAATTATATATTATAATTTATTACAAATATATTATAAATGAATACTATAAATATTATTTATGAAGAAAGTCGTGTATGTATAGTTGAAATTGCGAGGATGTAAGAAGAATTTCGTAATATTGTTACAGTATTTTCAGCTTATTGGAACGATTGAGGAAACAATTCGTTTTCATTTCATTTCTGCTGCTCCGAATCGTCTTGGAAAAATTCTATTTTACACAAGGATTCGCAGTCCACCGATCGCATCGATATACTTTCAACCAGTTAGCTCTTATCGACGAGCATCTTTTCTCGTTAAAAGCGTAAAAGTATGAAGAAGCTCGAACATGCACGGTATAATTACGCTAACTTGCAACACGTTTCAACGATATTGCAGCGGCTAACTGGTTAACGGAGTACACTTTTCAAGCGACGACCCGCTGAAAGAACTTTTAAGACGTCAATTAACACCGGCGACCCATTTTTCATCCGTTCGGTCGCGTTCGTTTCGTTCGATCGCGGCCGACGAGCATCGTAAATCTGTCGTTTGCAATGAAATTTTACACGCGCGCCCCGTCTACGAGAGCGCACTTCGGCTCGATTTTACACGAAGTAAAATTTTAGTATCCGTTCCATAGTCTGGGCAAACACGGTGCCGCGCTCGGGGTGGAAATAATAGCTTCCATTAGCGACAGCGAACCCGACCGCGGGGCAGGTCCCCATGAATATTTCGCAGCGACCGTTTGCTTCGCTACAAACAATTCGCCGTCAATTAACGCAGGAACTCGGCAAAACTCGATATGAATTTCGACCGAAATCTCTCCGCGATGTTTACCAACACCGTTCAGACCCCGATCTTCGCAAACGATCGCGGTGGGAACCGAACCGATCCGCTCCGCTCGGGTCCGCGCATGAATATTTAACAGAAACGGTAATCGCGATCGTTTCAATTAAAGCGAAAACGCGGAACGTTTCTTCGCGGCGCTCTCCGCGGGGTTGTGTCCCGGTGAACCGGACGGAGTTTCTCCGAATGATGCGTTCACAGTTGGGCCAGACCGGGTTGTTTCGGCCTCTCGTTCGTCGGCCGTTCGACGTCCCTGAACCGGCAACCGCCGCCGCCGCCGCACCGCGCCGGAAATTCATTAGGCATAACGACCATGATAAAAATCACCGTGAGAAATCGCTGGCCGCGTTTAGGTAGCTCGCCGAGGTGCCGTTTACTTATCTTCAGACATCGTTTACGCGACTTTCCCGGTTTTCCAGGCTTCGACGACGCCGAGCGGTGTTTACTGCTCCGAATGGATGCAGATTTTCTTGTAACGGCGTAATTACGGTCGCACGGTGAGACTGCTGGAATTAACGGTGACGATTTTATTAGTGCTCGGACACGATTCTGGCACATCGGGGTCGCTTCGAAAGCTTCGAGTACAGGATACCATATTTTCACACGAGATGTTATTAACAGGAAACCGTGTCGTGTATCGAAAACGACTAACGTTTGTTGCGAGAAGGATAAGGCTTTTATTTAGACGTTTCGTTATTTTTATAAAATCTGCTTGATTTAGGACATTTATTAACCCTTTGCACTCGAAGCCTGTTTAACTGTAAATCAAAAATAGTTTTTCTGACTTATAATATTTCCATTTTATACGACCAAGTGCATTTTATGCATATGACATTGAGTTTTATGGCGACTCGTACGACAGTTACACTTTCAACAATTTTTTAAATCTAAACTTTGTCGATATAAAAATTATCTTTGAACGTGATACAACAATTTTAGTGGTGCCTCAGAGTCACCGCTCAAGTGCAAAGGATTAAATCGCTTCCTATGAAAGAGTTTTTATAATGTCAACAGTCCTAAAATAAAAATAGTGCGAAGAAGGAAATTAAATATATTTATTATGTCTATAATTAAGATAAAAATGTATTCGCACTGCGTAACTCATTTTTTTTTTTAATCTGGACTTACACTAACCGGCTTCCGAACCGTCCACAGATACAAGTATTTTTTATAGACTCGTAAATTAAGTTTCCGCGTGAAACGTCTGTATAACAAATTTATTTAATTTCTTGAATTCTCCTTGGTATAAATGATCGTATTCTCCGCACGAGGAACACACGATTGCCAATCGAGATTATTTCTACGTCGATCATTCTCGCAATTCGACGTTAAAAATACAGGAAAACCACGGTTGAAATTTTTTTCGACGGACGCGATTCCGAATAACGTTAGCCACGCGATCAACAACCATTCCGCTGTTAATACGTTATTAACGCGTGGAAAAGGAATGCGCGACCCGCTTTGCCCTTTCATCGCTCTGCACGGCTCGTAACTCAGCCGTTTTATTAATTGAAGAAAGCGGCTGTGCGTGGCTTCTTAACCCGGACGCATCTGTGCGTTAAACGAAGTGAAGTTGTTCGGCGTTGCTAATTGCGGGGCTCCAGAAATAGATCTACAAATCTTGGTCCGCGTTACTTCTGTTTCCTCGACGAATCGTTTTCCCCGATCCGTCCCGAGGATAGTTGTTCAACCCGCCGGATATTAATCGTCGCATATTCGCGATCGTTCGACGATCTCGCGAGGAATTTTATGTTGCCTCATCACCTGATCGGATAAGCCGGAAGATTAATAAAAACTCCGCACGCAAAAGGCGCTAATTGTAAATGAGCCGCGGTTGAGATATGGAACGCGCCCTCTCGGTGGATCGAAGGATTAAAATATTGCGAGACCGGATGAATGATGCAGCGAGGGCCCGATACAAGTTTCGAATTTAGTTCTCCAAACGGAGCACTAAAATCAGGTGCTTCGTTTCTCTTTGTAGAAGCAACAATAACTTATCCATTCGGATTTTTAGCGATTTCTATCGCAATGTTTGAGCCGTTTATTTTGAAAGTGGCATAAGTCACTTTTTCAAAAAAATCGAGTTAATGGTAACACTAATTACAATTGAACGGTATCTTTTCATTAAAAAAAAAAAAGTGACTTATGCCACTTTCAAAATAAACGGCTCATTTGTCCCAAGCAAAAACTGTGTCGAATAAATTCCTCGTCAACGTATCTTTGCAACCTTGATAATCGTGAATCGAACAATTTGATCGGTGTGAAATTGCGGTGAAAAATGGCTGTCGGATCAAAACCGTGCAAAGAAACACCGCGTAGACGCAGAATCGTGCTCTGTCGTAGAAATTCGAGATTTGATTAGACTCGAAAAACAGAAGCGAAAAGAAATAATTTCCACGGACGAAACAGCAGCGTCGTTTCACGCTCCAGGTTCGCGAGTTATCGTCTTCGGAGCAGAGACGCGCGACTGCAACACGCTGCAGGATGTTCGATCGTCGTTCGATTCCGCATAAAATTCGATCGGTCGAGATTCCGACCCGATTTTCATCGCTCGTCACCGGCGCGATCCACTTTCGTGGCACGCAGGAAGACGAGTTACCATTTTCTATCGTGGCCGTAGAAACCGCCCGTGCAATTACACGAGCGCCGAGTGTCACCTTTCCAATATGCAAAATAGTAGGCCACCGGTCAGCCTTGATTTAGCGGACGCCCGCGAAAAAGTCTATCGCCCGAGACGACGGCGACACTAATCGCCGGTTTCGTCGTCGTTGTCGTCGTCGTCGTGCAAGACCAAAAGGATTACGAGGTGCCATCTCCTGGACGGTGGCGCAGGAAAACATACAGAAGGAGGTCGCGGCGTCGATCGCTGTTATTAGCGACTCCACTTTCAATCTTTCGTAACTTTCCAGGAGGATCCTCCCTCCGGATGTCTCTCGCGTCCCGCGATATCCGCGTGCTCCGTCGTTAAGGAAATTGGCCGTCACGCTCTTCAATCCGGTCGTTAACTATTGCGACGCGTTTCTTGCGAGATCGGCAATCTTCTCCGGGCCGCATCTTAACGACGACGATATCGGCTCCGTTTTCGCGACAAAGTCTCGCGAAACTGCCGCAGGCTGTCTTCTCAATTTTCCCCACCGGGAATATTTATAGTAATATGTGTAACGTATCCTGTAACGGTCGTTCTAGAATCTCGATTAAAATGTTATGTAACAAATGGTCCTGTTTATTAGCGAACATTGGCGGCGATTATCGAATACAATGATCCGACAGAAAATAGGATAAATTTAATGTGAAGTAAAGAAATGTGTGAACATGTGCAAGTCATACATAGCCATTAATTTATTATATTTCAATTATACATACAGACATACGTGTAATAAAAAATTATGAAGAAGGGAGATTCGACGAGCACTTCGATTCAATGAGAAAAAGGCATTCGTTCCTTCTAGGACAGCTCGCTGCATATTAATTTTACAGAAGCTTAGCTCAATGAGAATGTCGTCTATCACAAAGTTGCAAAAATATAGTCATTGTTCCCATGATTGAAATCTCTGACGCGCGCCCTATTTCTCTCGGCAAAATAATCTTCTTGGTATATTTTCGAAATCTGCGAATGGCTAAAGTGTGCAAACTTCTGCTCCGTTTGAAGAAAATACGTCCGACGATTGTCGACAGCACGTGTTTACACACACACACACATTCAGTAAGATTGCTAGGAAAAGCATTTGCACACGGGTTGCGCGTGATTCGATTATCCCCGTAAGAGCCGTTTCTACGTAAGGAACAAAGAGCGACCCAGTTCGGGGCTAAACAAAACGGCGAAATAGAAATGTGTCCCGGGGCAGGCGGGACAGGGTCGCGCGTGGTCGCAAATGTCGAGCAATTAGGGTCTAATTGTCCTGGTTCTTTTTTCGCGCAGAGCGAGAGCCGTGAGGAGACAATAACGACGACATCGACCGTGGTGACCTCGTCGACGGCGAAGAGCGGCACCAAGACGAAGAAGAAGAAGATCGAGGGCGTCGCCGGGAACGATGCCTCGCCGAACCTCACGCCCCGCACAAAGAAGACCAAGAAGAGCAAGAAGAACGAGCTGGAGAAGGAGAACATCTCCGTGGTAAGTGGACGCGGCCGGCGATCGGTGTTCGTTCAAATTCTCGTGTAGGGTTATATATTAGAGATTAGGCCCGTCCGTCTGTTGTCCTCTCGCCGTGGAGGACACGGCCGCGTTCTTCCGAGCGGAAGCGTCGGATCTCGGAGCAGTGGAGGAGGCGATCGGATCGAGGAGGATCGAGGCGGCCAGAAGACGCACCGTGGGTATAAATAAACCTGCATGAACCGTTATCGTGTTAATTAGCGGCTGGAGAGCGATCCACCGATCGAGGGACGATCGTCGTCGACGCACCGGAAGTCCTCCGCGGTTCAATTCCTCGTTCGCATGATTCCCGACGATTCCGCCGCGGTTAGTTTCCACCGGGTTTTCACTTTAATTGACAGAGAGGAACCGGACGTCTGATGTTTTGCGCCCGCGGCCGCCAGTCTTTTCCTTATTCGCAGTAATTGTTCCGCCGAGCGAGCGCGCGAGGGAATCGACAACGTTCGAAAGAGGAAATCGGGACTTCCGTTCCATTCGGCCACGGCGACCGGCTATTCCATCGCCTGGGAAACCAGCCGGGAAACCAGCCGGCCACGGGAAACTCCGTTTATCTCCGTTTTACCCCGTTCGCCGACCAGCTCTGTCCGTGGAATCCTCGACGCTTGAACGGAACACCTTTGTCGGCGGCATTCTTCCCTTTTTCTCGCCTCCGCTGAACTTTCGTTCTGCCGTTGTTCCTACGTTCAACTGTTCCGTGATCGAACCCTTTTTTTCTAACCCTCGCGTCGATTTTATATAGTCCTCTTTTGCGGAACATTTGCGATCAGTTTTATCAAGCATATCGACGCGCTGCTCGCGATCGATGCAGTTCTCTGTATCTTCAGAGAACGTTTTTGGGAAAAGTCGGAAGTCGCTTCGAAAACTTTGGATTGGGACTCGATTTGGCCTCGAAGAGTGTACAAATATTTTTCTAGTAGTTACTAAAAATGTGATTTTACTTTATTTCACTTTATTTTACTTTATTTTACTGGACCACTGGCCTGCAACCCTAATAATTGATAATAACGCATACTTCTCTATTTATCTTTTCAATATGTCATTAGAATTCAACCTAACCTTATTCCATTTATTACGGATGCCTCTTTAAATCTTAACGTTTATATTCCTCCCTGTGCTAACGGATTATCCCGTGCAAATAAAATAAAATAGATAAATAATCGAACACAGCTGTCATTTCTCAAACATTTACTCGCAAGAGAAATTCTCCTGCGCCGCCATTTTGCAAACGACCAAAATCGAAACCATATTTTTACATACACTCTTCGAGGTCCACCTAACCGAGCCCTCGAAACAAATTTTCGATCCGCTCATTACCTTTCTCTGAAAATATTCCGAAAGTAGACCACGAAATCGGTCGAGCCCGGAGAATTCGTGAACCGGAAGTTCCTCAGGATCGCAGTCGATGGAATGGCCCCGGAAGTCTCTCTCGGTGTCTCGACGAGTTTTTCTAGTGTCCCTATGGGACCGGAGAAGACCATGATTCGTTGTTGCATGTCTGTGTACAGTGTGGCACGTGTTTCTCTGTGTTGTCAGAACTCTAACTTGCGAGAGCCGAGCATGCACACCGGTTCCCGGCGAACGCAACCGGAATCGCTCGATTTCTCGGCCGAGAACGATCTGTCGAACGTGAACGTCAAGTCTTTGGTAAGTCCCAGCCACGGTGACACGGTAGATCGCGCGGCAACGGTAGATCCCGCGGCGGGTAGATCCGCGGGCAACGGTTACGAAATATCGCGGATCGAACCGGAGAAATTGCATCCGCGCGCGACCGAGCAAATTGACCGCGATCGGATTCGCGACGCGAGCCGTGACGACGCAGTCTCTCTCTCTCTCTTTCTCTCTCTCCCTTTGTATCGCAGTTAGGGGTAACGAGCGCGCCAGCGAAAGCCCGTCAGTAAAAGTTCACAGAAATGTGCCTGCCGTTAGGTAATCGCGACGAAATCGGCCGAGCGAATTTCTTTCGACGATCATCGTTTCGATTCCGAAAAACGTTCGCTTCTCGAGACTCCGTCGGAAACCAGAAGCTCCAGATCCGACAAAAGCGACAACGCGCAACGTCCGACAAATTCAGAATATACAGGGTGTCCCGAAAATGTCTCGCAATCCGAAAGTAGGGGATTCCTGAGGCTGTCTCTTATACACATCTTCCTCCGGTCATTATCATACAGCTGTCTCTTATACACATCTTCCTCCGGTCATTATCATACAGCTGTCTCTTATACACATCTTCCTCCGGTCATTATCATACAGCTGTCTCTTATACACATCTTCCTCCGGTCATTATCATACAGCTGTCTCTTATACACATCTTCCTCCGGTCATTATCATACAGCTGTCTCTTATACACATCTTCCTCCGGTCATTATCATACAGCTGTCTCTTATACACATCTTCCTCCGGTCATTATCATACAGCTGTCTCTTATACACATCTTCCTCCGGTCATTATCATACAGCTGTCTCTTATACACATCTTCCTCCGGTCATTATCATACAGCTGTCTCTTATACACATCTTCCTCCGGTCATTATCATACAGCTGTCTCTTATACACATCTTCCTCCGGTCATTATCATACAGCTGTCTCTTATACACATCTTCCTCCGGTCATTATCATACAGCTGTCTCTTATACACATCTTCCTCCGGTCATTATCATACAGCTGTCTCTTATACACATCTTCCTCCGGTCATTATCATACAGCTGTCTCTTATACACATCTTCCTCCGGTCATTATCATACAGCTGTCTCTTATACACATCTTCCTCCGGTCATTATCATACAGCTGTCTCTTATACACATCTTCCTCCGGTCATTATCATACAGCTGTCTCTTATACACATCTTCCTCCGGTCATTATCATACAGCTGTCTCTTATACACATCTTCCTCCGGTCATTATCATACAGCTGTCTCTTATACACATCTTCCTCCGGTCATTATCATACAGCTGTCTCTTATACACATCTTCCTCCGGTCATTATCATACAGCTGTCTCTTATACACATCTTCCTCCGGTCATTATCATACAGCTGTCTCTTATACACATCTTCCTCCGGTCATTATCATACAGCTGTCTCTTATACACATCTTCCTCCGGTCATTATCATACAGCTGTCTCTTATACACATCTTCCTCCGGTCATTATCATACAGCTGTCTCTTATACACATCTTCCTCCGGTCATTATCATACAGCTGTCTCTTATACACATCTTCCTCCGGTCATTATCATACAGCTGTCTCTTATACACATCTTCCTCCGGTCATTATCATACAGCTGTCTCTTATACACATCTTCCTCCGGTCATTATCATACAGCTGTCTCTTATACACATCTTCCTCCGGTCATTATCATACAGCTGTCTCTTATACACATCTTCCTCCGGTCATTATCATACAGCTGTCTCTTATACACATCTTCCTCCGGTCATTATCATACAGCTGTCTCTTATACACATCTTCCTCCGGTCATTATCATACAGCTGTCTCTTATACACATCTTCCTCCGGTCATTATCATACAGCTGTCTCTTATACACATCTAGATGTGTATAAGAGACAGGGTCACTGTTTTTCATTAATAACTCGTAAACGAAGCCGCGGATTGCATTTTCGCTAAGGAAAAAGTTGCTTCAAATGACCTGAGGAACCTGTCACTTTCGGATTGCGAGACATTTTTGGGACACCCTGTATACAAGATGTACCAGATGAAGGATACCATATTTGTATGCTCGCTATTTAGAGCAGTGTTCCAATCAATTTTTCGACTATAAATATTTCCATTTCCTACAAATATGTACGGAATACTTTGAACAAGTTGAACAATAAGCAATCCCAAAAGACGACGTCCTATCTTGAATCACTAGATTAAATACTGCTATTTTGATTCATTAATTCATTAATTTATTTATTTATATATACGAGTAAAAAACAGTCATTTTGCGAGGAATTGCAGAGGAAATTGAATGAAAATAAACAATCAAATCGCGAGGAATCAGCGAATCATGTAAACAGTTTAAAAAGACTAGTTGTAAATCTAGTAACATTCACTGCAAATACATCGATCGCTATTGTTGTCAATGAACGTTTAACCACTGAACAAAAAATGTCTCGTACAAATAATCGCGAAGCACGTTCATAGAACGTTTATCTTCGATCTGTGTCAGTGTTGAGGCGTATAAAATGTTATCCCTTCATCTGGGACACCGTGGAACATTTCTCGATAATTTCGCGAAACTTTTCGTCGTATCTTGTCATCTGACTGGAATCGTTTGGCAAGCTCATTGTCAAAGAGACCGCGATAGCATTAATGAACCGGCGCTTGCTCAATTTGACCCGTAAGTACCTTGCACGTAGAGTCAGCGTTCCGATGTACGGTCGGGCCGATCCGCAGCGATCTATAAATCAATCCGCTTCGAAGCGTACGTCTGCGGAGGGGTGATTAATTATCCGGGTGGGTTTTCGGTCGGGCTAGATCCCTTTATAGATCATTGTGGCTCGACGCCGTATGTCTTTTGCCGTCCTCGACACTGTCGTAATCAAGATTTAGTTGAAGCCCCCGCCCGTTTTCGATCTCGTAACTTCAGTCCCTCCCCCGCCGTTACCACCCTTCTGACACGATCAGTGTAATAGCAGTCGGTTTGCGTTTGTTTTTCGTGCGTGTGTGTGTATGTATGTATGTATGCGTGCGCGTGTGTTGTGTGTCGCACCGATTCGTGTGTGACCCACAGAAGCATGCTGAACTAGGTTTGTTGCATTGTATTTTGTGCATGCAGACACAGACATATGTATCGGAGGCGACTCGCCACGAGCAGGATCGATCGATCAAGGAAAAGATCGCGACCGGCGTGTCGATCAAGCAGCTGGTGAGTAACAAGTATCCGATACCTTTGGTTCGATACGATCGTATTTGCCCGCGATTCTCGTGCACCGGTCATATCGCGTCGAGATCTTCTACATATCTATCTGTGTTAAATCTACTCTCTCTCTTTCTCTCTCACTCTATTTCTCTCTCACTCTCACTCTCTCTCTCTCTCTCTCTCTCTCTCTATTTTTCTCTCTTTCGCTCATATCTCTCATTTATTACAGATAATATCTACGTTTCCGTGATCTATTTATTGAATTAATTTTGTCTCCTACTATTTTTCTTCTCTTTCATTTGTCTTTTTTTTTTATTTTTTCGAGATGCTTGTTCGCGCGGCTGAACGGCAAAAAACCGCTTCGATGGCTGTCGATACACTTTTGTCAGTTGTATTTTGTTGTCACTAACAGTGTCGTAGCTTTGGCGACATCTCGAGCATGAGCGACGGCGATCAGACGGCGTACGGGAAAGCGAATCACGCGATGGAGACCGAGGAGGTTTGTATCGATATACTCGTTCGTTTTATTTTTATTCATCAAGTCATTAGTTTCTGTTCTTTTCTATTTTNCTGAACTAGGTTTGTTGCATTGTATTTTGTGCATGCAGACACAGACATATGTATCGGAGGCGACTCGCCACGAGCAGGATCGATCGATCAAGGAAAAGATCGCGACCGGCGTGTCGATCAAGCAGCTGGTGAGTAACAAGTATCCGATACCTTTGGTTCGATACGATCGTATTTGCCCGCGATTCTCGTGCACCGGTCATATCGCGTCGAGATCTTCTACATATCTATCTGTGTTAAATCTACTCTCTCTCTTTCTCTCTCACTCTATTTCTCTCTCACTCTCACTCTCTCTCTCTCTCTCTCTCTCTCTCTATTTTTCTCTCTTTCGCTCATATCTCTCATTTATTACAGATAATATCTACGTTTCCGTGATCTATTTATTGAATTAATTTTGTCTCCTACTATTTTTCTTCTCTTTCATTTGTCTTTTTTTTTTATTTTTTCGAGATGCTTGTTCGCGCGGCTGAACGGCAAAAAACCGCTTCGATGGCTGTCGATACACTTTTGTCAGTTGTATTTTGTTGTCACTAACAGTGTCGTAGCTTTGGCGACATCTCGAGCATGAGCGACGGCGATCAGACGGCGTACGGGAAAGCGAATCACGCGATGGAGACCGAGGAGGTTTGTATCGATATACTCGTTCGTTTTATTTTTATTCATCAAGTCATTAGTTTCTGTTCTTTTCTATTTTGTTTTCTTTCGCGAGTTGCGAACACGATGACTGCGGAACCGCCCGTCAACGTCGATCCCGAAACACGGCCACGTTGTCTTACTTCTGAAACGCGCGTTGCACCTTTACGCGATGTCTGTGACATTTTTAAATACTGCGATATCGTTGTAAGCGCGTAAATCTGTCGGTGGTAGTATACAACGGTCGACTGATCAGGCAAAGAATAGAAAAAGCTGTGTGACAATGACCGGAGGAAAAATTACGATATTCTATCTGAGATCCAGGAAACACTTCTGACGAAGATTACGACGTGATTATTTGATGACGTGATGCTCTTGATCATAATATATTTCCGAAAAATTCACCTTGAGTCATTTCTGGAAACAATAATCACAAGATACGCGTGATTGTTTCGTGTTAAAAATAATTTGCACGTTGTGTTCGATCGATTGTGTGCAACACAATGTGATCCGATTAGAATCATCTTCAATTTCGTAATCGCGATCGAAGAGTGCTTGCTACTAGCAAGCATGATGCACTGCGTACGAATTTTCTTTGTCATTAAATTCTATACTATAATATATATTATTATACTTATACTATATAGAATTTAACGACGAATTAATTTAATGACAAAGAAATATATACTATATATATACTATAATATATAATTATATAATATATATAATATATACTCTATAATATATATTATTATACTTATACTATGCTATATATATATATATATTATAGTATAAAAATTATAGTATATATAATCTATAGTCAACGGCTTATAACGGTGTTCACGCAGCAATTTAAAAAATCTAGCAAAACAAAATTTTATTTCTCAAATGTCTGTAAGAAGAAAATGATCTCAGACCGAGATTTTCTCTCCCTAACGAAACGAGAAAATAAGCTGGATGACGGGCGGTCCCGCTAATTCGAAATGATGATTCAGGATTTAAGAAAGCAATCTTTCGCGGGTCCAGAGTTAACGAACTAGAGCGCACATTCTGATGACGAGAAAGGATCGTGTTAATCGTGCACAAGTGAATCCGTGCACGACGCAACAGACGCGCAATACATTTCGATCTTGCCGTTCAGTGTGTACGCCCGACACCGCTTCGATTTATAAACGGTTCAATCGGTTCAATTCGTTCGGGACGAATCGGTGCTCTCGGCCGGGCACAGCAATTGGTGTTCGTTCGAAGCATGTCAGCAGCATCCGACGTTCACGTGTGCGACGGGAGAACGGCAGTCCTATTAACAAGTTGATTATCGTTATACTGCATGAGCCATATCCGAACTTCCGTTTTAGTTGCTTCGCGTTCCACTGATATTACGATTGTTCCGCCGATCAAACTAAGAATTTTAACTCCTGATCATCGTAACAGCATACTAATCGCCGTCGGGGGCGCGAGCTTTGCGACACCATTCGTTCATTAAGAACCAATTAGTACAGGGAAACTTTCTAATCGAGGTTGCGTATCTGCAGAAGCAATTTTTAATTGCCCTCGGATTCGACAGATTTGTCAAATGAATTTTCAAGTCGTAATTGATTATTATTGGGCCAGAAATAATGATTCAATACTTTTTAATTATTATTGGTTTCGAATAGAATCATTAAACAAATTTTAATCGCTACTGGTTCCGGGAAAATAATTAGAAATTTTAAAATTATTGGCGATTGCGGAAAAATAATTCAAAATTTTTTAATTATTATTGGTTCCGAAAGAAATAATTCAACATTTTTCAATCGTTATTGGCTCTTGAAAAATGATTCTCGCGTTACGCTATTATTGCTCGAAGTACGTATCTATGGTTTCAAAGGGTTGTCAAAATTGTGCGAATCTCGAGGGTTGTGATTTTGAAAAGGGAATTTTGAAAAACAAAGTCGCAAAGCTCGCAGGCCCGCGATCTATCCGCAACTTACCGCTAATCTTGAGTTCCCGTTGACGCTCCCGACGATCCTAGAAAGCAAGGTCGCTGGGTGATCTTCGATTATGCGAGAAGGGTTACTCGAAGTTCACCAGAGACGCACTCGTCTTCGCCGGGGTGTCGGTCAAGGCCCTAGTAAGTACCTTTCGTGAACCCGTTGGGCCGCCTCGGTGACAGCTGGAACTACAAGATCGTGAAACAATACCTCTCCACTTCAACTTAGACCACTTCACTAGATTTCACTAGACACTGGAACGACTACGAATTCGAAATGAATAGTAAAGAGGGACGCTTAACGCGACGCGTGCCTCGACTGCCACATTTGGGTGACACTAATTTTTTAACTAAATTAAACGTTACCGAAATCTTCAGAACGCAAAAGACTAGAATAATTTAAAATGCAAAATTACTAAACGTTAATTATCCAGTTTCGGTTTCGTTAATTCAGAGTTGGTCAAAATTTTATTCGGACGACGGATAAGAAACAAAGAGTAACGAATCAATTTTTATTCGACACCGTCGAATGCAAAATCTAGATAAAAACTTATCTAGATAAGAATACATTCGATTCCAAGACATTGTAAAATTATTCGAATGATAATGCGAAGTGATAAAGTTGAAAATGATCTGAAAATGCGTTCATATTAGACGCATTAAAATGCATTATTATCCGAATAATTTTACAATCTCTATTCGAATAAATGGTTCGTAACAAAGAATTGTGCGAATCATTTATTCCGATAAAGAATCATTCGAACGAATAAAAATTATTCGAAAAAAAATATTCTACCAAAAAGAATCCATTTGGATAATTATGCAAGAAAAATAATGCCGAACTCTGCATTAATTAAAATGACATTGGTAACGTTGGAACTTTCGGATTTGATATTCGGCGCTCTCGCAGTGTTAAGACTGTGTCGCGTATCGCGAGAAGAACATTGTCTCCGCGATTCCAACAAATCGTCGCCGAGGATTCCGAAGTTAGGCACGATCCTCCGGGGAATGCCGGGGTGCGTGCACGTGATCGCGATCCGCTCGAGTACGTCGCGCGTTTTACCGGCGTAGTCGGTCGTCGTCACGCCACGAATGCTGTCTCTCCATTTAAGGGAGGGCCGGCTTTGATAATAACCTACTGCTACTCATTTGCCCCACTTTGTACTTGGCTCGCCGTAGAATCGAGGTCTCGCGGCATTTTTTTCCGTTTCCTTTTTCCCTCTTCGTTGCTCTTTTTTTCCCTTCTCCTTTTTTCGCTTCCACGTATCCGGCGTTTATCGGTTAACCGGTTACGGATTTCGTGTCGGGTGACATAATTCCCGGCATAGTGAAATCGTCTCCGCGAGCGTAGATTGCCCTGGGAACGCTCTCGGTTGCCCCCGGGGCGAGACGAGGGGGCAACGCTTTCGAGCTATTAACTCGGAGGCAGATGAGACGATGCTCTCTCCCTCTGCGTATAGTGGCGCAGTGGGCGTGGCCTCGGTGCTCCCAACTTCTAGGACAGTGTCTCAAAGGGTAAATTATGCTCATGGTTTAGGTTCTACGTCCCCTTGTGATTTAGCTCCGAGGAAAAGCGGAGGGTACTATTTAAAATTCTTCTCCTTTTACGTAGAATTTAATGCGTAGCCATCGGCGAGCCCAGAGTGGGCGTGGCCTCGTTGCTCCATACTTCCGCGGAGCTAGAACGCGCAATCATTTGTCGCAAAAATCTGACTAAACAGCACAATTTCCACTTAAACAGTCTCAATTTTCCCTTTTTTTTTTTTTTTAGTAGAATATAACCATGTCCAGTGACTCGTTGTCTAATCACAGCCTAATCATTCCTAGCATAAATCACCCGAAGATAATGAGCAGTCGTTGTTCTAACGGCTCCCTAAATCACCGTCGAGGTAACAATTCGATCACAGCGCCTTCAAAAATGGTCCCGTCGATTCCAATCTCTTCCACGTTCCTCGATCGAAGCCGGATATCTCGTCCGATCGAAGTGGGCGTGGTTTCGCAGCTCTCGCTTTCCGCGCACCCACGCCGCAGCTGCGCAGGGCATTCTACGTCGCCGTAATCGTGTAAATAATCAAACTCGACGGAAAATCGTCGCGGCTTCGAACAGGCTCGACGACTCTCGCGGAGTTTCAATTTCCGTCGATCCGATAAACGATAAAACGGGAACGGATCGTGTCGGGCACGTGACCGAGGCTCGTCGTGCGAGCCCGAGACCGAGAAAGCAAGTACCCGGTAGAGCTCGGCCGTGCCAAAAACGAGACTCGAACGATATTCCAGCTGTCCCCGAACGTTGGTTCCCTCTCGCTCTTCTCCTTCGTTCCTCTTCTCTTCTCCGTGAACGCGTTGCAGCGGTTGGCGAGATACGTATCGGCCGATTGGCAACCGGCGGCGGCCATTTACGGGCCAGCATTGCCGGCTCGATCGGCGGCTGCTAGTATTATACGGGAACGGCCGCGATCGACCGGCTCGTCGAATTAACGCGTCCATCGAGATGACAGCCAGTTGGCAATCGGCTCTGTAATTGTTGTAGATCATTGGCCGCGGATGAAGACGCCGAGATGCCAGTCGGAAAGGCTCGGTCTAATAGCGTTCACCCTTCCGCTCCCGGCGGAATTGTTTACGACCCTAAAGCGTTAAGATTTTATTGCTGTGCACGGCGGCGTGCCTAATTATGGAATCAAAATAACTTTTATACGTTTATTGATATTTGAAAGAGAAGAACTGTGTTTGTATATTTCTATTTTCTATTATTTCTGATGTAGAAATGTACAAATGTGGCGTTTTCCTAGGTTTTTGTTCAAGGTAGCGTTAAAAATGTAAAAGTCATTTCGAGTCTATAATTCTGTGGTTTAATTAATGCGTTGACTGAAATTTTTTGAATTTTTGACACGCGACCTTCTCCTTCGTAGCCACGGAATTAATCACACCGGTGTAATTGAGCTCGGTTTACGCATCGATTCTTGTCGCTATTTTCATCGCTGTAAAATGGTTTCACATTATGCTATATTATTTTTTATTATATTTTGTGTTTTTCACAGCACCTCGTACGCTGTCATTTCTTATAGGAGTTAAAGATATCGTAAAATTTGTTACGACGGTCCGAGTTAGATTTTTATATCTCTCAGAAACTGGTGTTTTGGTTCAGATGTTTTTATTGTAAACTGTTCGAATAAGCGAAAGAAACTCGGGGTAACGAAATCATGCGAGTCGGGTGTGATCTCACCGATTCCGATCAGCGTCATTCTAACGAACAGAGAACGGCGTGCCGTGCAATTTTGCAATTTCGTACGCGCTGTCTCGTTGGAAGGATAAAACGGGCGAAGAACAATGCGAGGTGTCGGTGAAACAAGGTGTTGCGCCAACCGCTGTTCCGCGGAACTCGAGAATGAAGGTGTACCGCTTACAATGTCGACCCTAACGCGACACTAACCCGCAGCCCGTGCTGTTTCTTTCTTTTTGTTCGGTCCGCCCTCTCCTGGCCGTGCATGACAAAACCTTAACCGAAAAAATCACGAAAAAACCGACCTCCTCGGGACAGAGGGCTTCCTACTGTAGTTTGGCAAACTTAACGAACGAGGGTGTGGAGACGGATCGGCCGAGGTTCGAGGTAAGCTCCCCGAAAGAGAGATGTTCGTACCACAGGTTCAATCTCTTCAGAATTTTCTTCTCCGCTTCTGCCTCGCTCCGTTCGCATATCTCTTAACTTCTTGCTTCGAATTTACGATCGAATCTCTCATTCTTTCGTCTTGACACATCTTACATCTTTCGTTCGCGTAGACGCTAATTTCGACGGACAAACTGTGGTCGTAAGAACACCTTTATCCCTCGTCCCTTCTGCTACCTCTCTGCCATTGGAACGCACATCCGTAGACCAGCGATACCCCGAATCCTCTTAGATCCGCCGAAGAAAAGAGTACGGCGTGTGTGTATTCGAGCATAATTTTCGTTTCAACGCAACCGAAGCGACAATTCTGCTCGGACTAATATCCTCAGACTAATAACGTCCTAAACGTGTTCACTTAGAAATTAAGCACAGTTTTCTAGCACTTCGTTGTTTTTTTCTTTCTTCTTTTTTATCTAAGTGCAAGCGTTCGAAGATCTGCCTTCGGAACAACAATTCTGCTCGTTTGCGAATCACATACTGCTGTAAAACTTGGAGAAGATCGGGATGAAGTGTGTAGACTCAAGAAATGAGCATTTCTAGACCAGAATTGCCATAACTTCTTTGAACGATCATCGAGGAAAAGTGTGCGGATTCTGTGAAACCCGAGAATGAGCATTTCTAGAAGAGCGCTACCATAAGTCCTTGAGTAATCAAGAAGATCTTGCGACCTTAAGAAACGAGGATTTAAAGACCACTATTGTCGCAACCAGACTGCGGATCTTTATGCGAGATAAGAGCTAAATCGAAATGAAACAAGAAAGAAATAGAAGTGAAATAAAGACAATTTTTTTCTATTAATAATTCCTAAAGTCAATAATAACGCAACTATAATAATAATTGCATAATAATGCAATATCGCGCAAATTTACTTTTATCATAAGTGCATAAAATCCGCTGTCTGGTCGCAACCGTGGCGAATAACGTGAACCAAAAAGGGTGAAAAGTTCGCGAACTGTAAGCAGCAGCAGAATTTTCGTTTCGAGGCGAGTCTCGAGCCGATTTCGAGACAGCGTCTCCAGCTTTTCCCGTTTGAGAACACCACAACGAGCACCCAGTTAGCACGATGCGACCGCCCACCCCACCTGCGTTCACCGTGGGCACCCTACACTCAGCTTCTCCACCCCAATAATCGTCGAGAAGAAAGTGAACGTTGATCCGCGAAGAAAAGTCTCGATGATGTTTCTCTTTTCAAAATTCAGTAACGCAGAAAGTACACGCTTTTACCGCTCACGCTGAACAGGCTTCAAGCTAGACGAAAACCACCACCATCACACCACCATCACCACCACCGCCGCCACGAATCCACCACCAGACTTCTCCTATTGTTTCTCGTTTTCCTCCACCGACCAATCTCAGCACGGCTCGCTTCGGCGATCATTCGTTTGACGCCTCCACTGTTTGTGTTCGCAGAAGTCGAGCTTCAATAAATTCGACGCTCTCAGCAAGAAGACGGTGCTGCATGTGCGCTCGATCGACGCGGGCAAAGTGCAACAACAGCTGAACGCCGCCGTAAGCGTCCTCATCTTCCTTTTTCCTCTTCTTCATCATCTTCTTCTTCGTATACTTCTCGTTTCTGCATCGTCTTGTTCTTCTTCATCGTCATCATCGTCCGCGCGTTACTTATAAGATCGACGTGCTTGACCCTTCGGTCGCGGAGAGCGCGTGTAAACAGCCTCTCTGTGTCGAGCTCCTGGCTCGCCAGCGGCCAAGAGGGCCGGCAACGGGGTAGCCTTTACTCCAGGCGATCCTCGGCCGAAGGGTAGCTTCCCGGAGACTCGCAGCGGCGCCTAAACGCGACCACTCCAGCGGTTTTGTTTTTCGCACACCGAGGATATTCGTACAATTTTACAGGCTTCGCTAGACAGTTCTAACTGCTTCACACCGATTTTTAAGGTCAACTCATCTGAGTCGTTCTCGTTACCATAATTAACACTTCTAGCGCCGAACAATTATACGCGTATTCGTTACGCTTGAGAAAATATCGTTTTCTAAAGATTTGTGAAGAACAGACTGCGGATTTCGTTTGTGACAAAAGTTAGTCGATCGAGTACAAACAAAATATGAGAAGAATTGAAAGAATTCGACGAAGTATTCTTTTGCATAAAAATCCGCGGTCTAGCATTAAATAGCATTATACTCATTTCTTATTTCTCATTTCTCCTTCATTTTTGAGTGTTCTAATTATCAGATTTCACAAAATTTTTGTTATTCCTTTTTCGAAACATTACCGGACCCCATCGAATTCGCATAATTCGCTCAGGTACGCACGACACTTTTTTGGTCGGCACTAAGAGGGCTTTCGATTTGTTGCACCGCTTACGAAATATGAACCGTTTATTTTGACAGTGGCATAAGTCACTTTACCGTAACGAAAAGTGGTGATTTTTTAATGTTTATACGAAATTATTTATACCGAGAAAAATATCAGTATCCTGAGATAACAAATACAAGTAAATCTTCTCGAAAGTTAGCATCCATATTTTTAAACGTGTTAAAACGCAAACCCTTAAATATATCGACTTAAGAACAAAGTGACTTATGCCACTTTCAAAATAAACGGCTCATATCGTACAATTGTGCAGCTTTACCGAAGCCGTCTCGCAACAATGTTTAATTATCTGTGTGAAGAGTCAGAAAGAACTCGAAGCGGTAAACGCATCGTAAGTATAACAATTGTTATTCTATTTAGCTGCGAATGCATAAACGTCTGTGGATAATAGACCGCAAATAGCATGCACACTTAATGAATCCGGCAATAAATCGAGTCGCACTGTAATTTTGCCGAATACTTTCTTTTTATCAATCAGTAGGCATGCCGTAGTTGAATCGGACGGTTGGTATTCCATTTTGTCGGGCTGCGTATTTTCCAAGGTTTGGCGATACGTTCGCAACGCGCGGGTGCGCGCGCGCGCGCTCGCGCACAAAGATCCGCAGTCCATTAGTCAGGATGAGGAAAATTAATGAAAGACACGCATTTCCGTTCGAAGAAAAAACTCATTCGCTGTCTAGTAATTACAACGGTAAACAGAAAGTGTACCGTCGTGTTCATGCGCGAGTAAAAGGGGTGCGCGCGCCCGAGGGGTTGGTTCACCCCATCTATTACGAACGGACTGCTGGATGGATCTGCGAACGCGGATTATTATCCTTTAATTCACGAGCGCGGGTCTTTAACGTCGCACGGGAACATTCGCCGCGACTCGACCTAAGACAATAATTAAACTTTCTCGGAACGCGTTGGCCGCAACCATAAATAACTTATTGAGCATTATTGGACAGCCTAGAACGCGCAATAATGGGTCTATTAATTCAGCCTAATAGACGTTCGAACCGTACGAACACGGCGAATGTTCATTCTTCATATTTCTCTATGGTCGCGAGGTTAACGTAATTCCAGTCTAATTAGACGTTATTAATATTAAGTGTTTCTTAAAAATAAGGTTCGCCGAACGGTTCGCCCTATCGGAGCTCCTTTCATGGGAAATAATGGAAATCTCGTTAAGTTCTTCCCAAAGCCCTAATCCTAGATAATAAGTGCAGTAAGTGCATAGAATCCGCAGTCTAATTACCGGGCTACAGCCTGCCGGTGGCTGCACAGTGATTCTCATTAATATTCGCACGCTCTTTCGCGGAGGATGGCCTCTTTGAACATTTAACCGGGCAATTTCAAACGTTCCCTGAAGCTGGCGCGATCTACTTACTAAAATACGTGTAAAAGAAATTCAGAAAATTCATTTTAACGCTCGGACGGCGGGGATATCGGGTCTATTCGGACCCAGGCTATTGACATTGTTCTTTCAGTATCCAGTTTCTGACAGAATAATCTCAATTACTACATGATGCTTTTTAGGATTGCTAGATAAAAATAACGTATATAGAGGAAATATCAGAGAAAAATATGTTGACAAAAATTGCTGGATAATATTATAAACGATGCCTAAGCAGGCGCGGTTAAATTTTTGTCAAGAAGCTCCACCGTCCAAGCGTTAAGAAAAATATTAGCATTGTTCTCGCAATTTTCTGCGAATTTCTTTCGCGTAGCATCTGGTTAAATTCTTCCTGTAGCTTCTGACGAAAGTCCAAGCGATTCTGTCGGCTTTTCAAGAAGTTCTGCAGTTTCGACGCGTGTTTAAAAAATATCGATGAGATCGGCGGAGAATCTCTAAGCCGGTTTGATCGACGAAAGTCGAAGTCCTCGTTAGAAACGAGTTCCTGAAACGTCACGATCTGCCGACAGGTGGGCCAAAATGGCGACACGAACCCGAACTGTCGCAGCTGCGGCAAGGTCGTCTTCCAGATGGAGCAGACGAAGGCGGAGGGTCTGGTCTGGCACAAGAATTGCTTCCGGTGCGTGCAGTGCAGCAAGCAGCTCAACGTGGACAATTACGAGAGCCACGAGACCATCCTCTACTGTAAGCCACACTTCAAGGAGCTCTTCCAACCGAAACCGGTTGAAGAGTCCGAGCAACCCGGTAAGTCGATCGCGAAACGCAACGAGCAAAACGCGCGCGCGCGCGCGCCAACGCTAGCTCTAGCGCAGCTCACACGTAGGCGGAACTCGCCTCTGAAAATAGCATCCGCGTCTAATCCGCGAATCTCTCTCGCCGACCCCTTTGATATCGCCGCCGGACACGCCGCGATTCGAAACACGGATCCTCGCGATCCATCCTCTCGTCCTCGTTCCTCTTTAGATCCGCTTTGAATCAGCCGCGAACGTAAACTCACGCCCGGCGCGATCCGGCTCGCTATCCGCTCTATCCCGCGGCGGAACGCTCGCGTCTCAATTCCAGCTGGTGATCATAGATCTTGTGGATCCAATAGCCTTTCTCCGTCGTTCTCTGTTTGCCAGAAACGTTTGAAGACGGAATGAGCTGGTCAACTTTGAAAATCTTTTCTGATTCAGTTAGAACAGCTATCGTTTAATGTCTAATCGACTCTCTCGTTTTCGCAAATACTTTAGGAATTTTCATTTTATTCAGTTGTAAATGCAGACTTGATACATGCAGCGATGTACGTAATTACAGACTCGAAGTAATTTTTACATTGTTACCTTTTTTTTATTATTTTTTTTAATTTAATTTATTTAGTGTCGTATTTGCTTAATAGCAATTAGTAAACACTTGTGGGATAGCAATTGTAGGGTTACATGTAGTGTGATGTATTAAATAGTTTTTTGCATTAAATTGTTAGATTATTTTCTTAATCTAGGCTTCTTAAGTAACTATATAATTTCACTGAACAATTTGATTTCTTCTAAGTATGACACAACTTTTGCTGTTTGTTTGTAGTTATCCAAACATTCTTCGATGGTATTGGACATTTTTTCTTTTTTTTTTTGATATTGTTGTACACTGAACATTCTATTGGGTTACAAAGTGGTTTATCTGTTTTAGAGATGTATTAATTAGTATGCTCAATTCTTAGTCGAGTACATTGTTACTGAAATCTAAACGAAAACGTAACAAAATATGCCATACTTGTATATTTCTATTTTCTATTATTTCTAATATAGAAATATACAAATACGATGTTTCGTTAAGTATTTGCTTAAATATCGTAAAAAGTGTGAAAGTTACTCCGAGTCTGGAATTATGCACATCACTGTTGCGCAAATAATTTTGTTGTAGTTAATCGTAAGTGTTCTGCAGATGATCTTTGCGTAGAACGATGTTGTAAACATTAACGTGTAAATTAATGTTTATTTTCCAAGAAAGACGTTTTATGAGTTCGATGCACTTAAATTTCAAAATGCATCGAAGAGCGTTCGACAGAATTGTTGCATTAAAAACGAGTAGCTCTCTTTGAATATTGTTTATAAATGTTTATCTCCACTTCAAATTTGTCGTCGCGCAGACGCATAATTATAACAACAATCTATAACAAGCTTGCCAAATATTATTCAGTAATGCATTATTTTATTTATTTGTATTATATTACATTTATTATATTATATTATATTATTACATTATTTTTACTATTATATTATATTATTATATTACATTATTTTTATCTTATTACACACTCACAACTACAAACAAAAGGTTAAATGATTCATAAAGTTATTTATTCATAGTTCACTATACATACGAGGACACGTAGAGTCGTTGTATTAGAAGAAACGTGTTGGTGTACATTAAATAGGATCGAATATCTCGGTGAACAGTCTCAGCGCATTTCTGCAGACGATGAGACATCCGAAGGAAGAATGCAAGCGTTCGCATGGGTATTAATTTATCTGGTCCGCGACGAAGCTCGCCGGCCGATTAGACCATTTGGAATCAGAGTCTCGCGTAAAAACGGGACGCTTATTATCGTGGCCGATAATGGAAGAGCCCATTCCCGGACAGAGGAAATTCTATTGCCTGTTCGAGCGACCGGCTGGAATAACCTCTCGCATATTCCACGTCGGGGCCCGTCATTGTCCCCCTTTGTTGTGCTCGCCAGAAATTACTACCCCTCCCCCCTCTAACGTTCTTCCGACGTCCGCGAGACCGCCGGTTCAGTAATTACACGCGAATACTGTGAGCTCGGGCGAGCGAGAGAGAAAGAGAAAAAGAGAGAGAGGGAAAGAGAGAGAGAGAGAGAGAGAGAGAGAGAGAGGGAGAAAGAGATCGTTAATGCGACAAAGAGATGTCTTATGAACTCCGTAGTGCGACCTCGAAAGCCGGAGCTGATCATTAGGGAGAACGAGCCGAAAGAGCTGCCGCCCGACGTAATCAGAGGTAAAGTCTGACTGAAGTGTGAGGCCCCTGGATCGTGCAGAGACCCAGACCTAGCCTAACTCGCCTAACCGTTTGCCGAGTGCGGAGTTCTAATACCATTCACCGGCGCGCGTTCGCCTCCCTAACGACTCGTTAATTTCTTTCGATTCGTCCCGCCATCTCTTCCAGTGTTCTGTGTGCGCCGCTCTCTCCTCCCCTAGGCCGCGATAATCGCTCTTTAACGAGCCGTTAAAACGGTCAAGAATTACTGCTGCAGCATGATAACAGTCAGCCCATCTCGCGTTCCGAGTGATTTACGGTGGGAGAAGCGGCCTTGGACGGCCCGGCAGAAAAATCGGCGCGTGAATCATTCTTCCGTGAAGAATCGCAAGAAAATGGGCTGGCCGGCATGAACGGCTAAACGAGATCGATGAGAGCTATTCGTGATCCTGTCGATCCACGCGACTAAATCGCTCACGTGCATCCTCGGGAAACGATTCTGCCCTTTGGGGAACGCCCGGTGTCGATTCCGAGACTCGGATTCGTTTGATACTCGTTCGGCTGATTCGCTGTTGACGGAGAATCAGTCTATTTGGAGTCGCGATTGTTCGCCGAAGGGTCGAAGCACTCGATGTTCTAAAAATTTAGCGAATTGATCGCAGCTGTCGGTGTTTGAAAATGTGTGTGCCGTCGTAGTGTGCCGAAGGTAGATTGCGGATCCTTCGACGCGGCAACTGAACTTTCGTCAGAAGATCGGGGATGCAATTACCGTCCGAAATCTGCAGTCTACTTTCTAATTACGTCTAACAGCCAGGCTATTCGAGCGGGTTAGAATCATAGCGATGCAAATCACATTTTCCTCATCGCGAGGAACGGGCAGCGTTATTGCTTACTAACGTGTGCGTTGTTCATTGACCAAATTTATTGTTAAGGTAATTTCGTGTTGAGTTAGTTCGTAGCGACTTTGGAATTTGTTTCGCTTGTTTTTTTAACATTTTGGCATGCACAGATTACACTTTACGAGCCTAATTTTTCACCCTTTTTCTATCTACTTGCATGTCTGACAATCTCTTGCTTTATTTTATTTTTCTTTACTATGTATACAGATTTACTATATCTACTATATATTCATTATTATTATTATTATATTAGTGGTTCTTACTTTTTCTTCTTACTTTTGTATTGTATTATATATTTTATATTTTCGTATGATATTTTTTATTTCTATTTCTATTATATATTCTATATTTCTTATATTTTATATTTTCATATGATATTTTTTATTTCTATTTCTATCATATATTTTATATATTTCTTATATTTTATATTTTTATACGATATTTTTTATTTCTATTTCTATTATATATTTCTATTTATATATTTTATATTTCTTACATTTCATATTCTTATATGATACTTTTTATTTCTAATAGCACTTCTAAAAGGCACTTCTGCGACAGTTACAAAAAATCTCTCGTTCTACCTTTTTTTTCGCAACAAAAGTTTCCTTCACCCACATACACGAATAAATCGTAAATAAATCGTTCTTATCATTATACCAAGACGCGCGTCAGAATTTTCGAAAATGCGATTTGCGCCACTACGATTCCAAGCCGTCTATTTAACACCGCCAGATGCGCCGGCTTGTGTTTCGGCGCGCGTTTCCCAGAGAATCCGCGGAAATAATAACCGCGTAGCAAGCCGGCGTTGGTGCATCCGCGGATGAAATCCGCGGTGGCTCCCCACCGGTCGCGATTAGTGCGGCGCCGTGGCGGCGTGAACGGTGATTAACGCGTTAATGAAAACGTTCTCCAATCTGCGTTCCAGCCTCCGACAAACCGGACCTGGGTCTCGAGGAGCTGTCGAGCCTGAACGTGAAGTCCCGGTTCAAGGTGTTCGAAAAGGCTGGCACAGAGGCGAACGAGATCGAGAGGTCGCCGTCCCAGGTAGCCGTGAAGAGGTCGCCGAGCATCCTCAGCAAGCTCGCCAAGTGAGTGGAGACCAGAGACTAGAGACCGATCGAGGGATTCAGGATGATTCGAGCCCGACCCGATCGATATAATCGCGCACTCTCTCCGCTCGTTCCACGGCCTTATACGACTCGGCCCCGTGGGCCGTCGAGATGGTTCTCGTGCCAGCCATGACACAGATTCGTTTCCACGAGATCGGCACAACGGCCACTCTTATGGCCTGCCTACGATTTTATTGGCACCGTCCCGATCGCCGATTGCTACCTTTGATCCGCGATTATTCCCTCCGATCGCCAATTGTTCCCATCTGGCCTGAACAGTTTTAGAGATTGCTGCACTCTTTGCCACAGGTTCTCGAATGTTGTTAACTCGCGAAGCTCCTAAAACCTTCTCTGATCGAGGCAGCTAATTTTTTAGCTATTTATTTGCTTCAGTTTTTGGTTAGCAGAATTATTGAGAATATAATTAGCAGAATCCAAAGCATTGTTTCTGATAAAAAAATGCATAGCTCTTAATATCAATCCTTAAATATTATTGCTTATTATTTCTGCCATAAGTGGACCCAAAAGTTATTATATAAGTCATTGTATAACGACGGGTCCTTCATTTTTTAATTTACAATTATTCAAATTGCAAAATACGTATTTGAGTTATTTATTCAATACATGTCTCACTTGCGTAACGTTCGTCAAAAATCAGAATAAATATCTCATTGTTAGCTTTATAAATTAATACTAAATAGCTGCTTTGAATGCTCGTAAATCTATAAAAATGAATACCATAATCATTTTATAAACAGTATATTTCAATGAGTAATTGTTAGCAGTGAAGGGTTCAGGGTTTAATTCCTCCATTTTCTGGCAACCAAAAACATCGAAATGCATCTATAGATGCAACTAGGAACAGTGTACAAAAAACATCATCAATCTCAGATTTACATAGAGATCGTTCCAAGCCGACAATATCCAAAAACAACGCCCCCGGACAAGAATGTTATCGCAGCACCGATTCAGTGCACCAGCACCCACAAAAATAGTTCCCCCCTCGGTGCATCTGGTGCACAATTTATAGTGTCTCATCCCGCTCACTAACATCGTAATAACATGGCCCGGTCGCAAATTGCATTCCAGCGTTTCGCTGCACGCATTAACCGAGGCGAGCGGCAAGAAGCGACACTGGTACAATTGTGCTGCTATGCGCCGCGTTGCACCGTGCCGCCGCGGCGGCGGTGCAACGCGATGCAACGCGACGGTGTACGAAGTTGCATTGTCACTTGAAAATGTGCAAGCGAAGCCTGGCTAATATAGAACGAGCTTACGGGGAAAAAACGCGGTCCTCGCGGTGTTGCGACAGATGCGTTGTTCGCGCGATCAGCGGTTTCCCGGCGCAGTCCGCGGACGCGTCGCGCGCGATCGCCGATTGGAAATCCGCGGAAATGTTCGTGTCTACATTGCGCGTGTTTTTGTGCAGATTCCAGGCGAAGGGCATGGATATCGGGGTGGCGGACGAGTCCCTGAACGGGATCCCCTACGAGGAATCGAGCGAGAGCGAGGAGGAAGAGGAGCTCGAGGAGACAGAGGGTGAGCACCGGCAAACATTTAAGGGGAGGTTCCGGTCTGGTAGGCCAAAAAGAAGGTCATTTCTAGGATCTCTTTGGAACGAAGTTAAATGAGGCGACAAGGGTTTTCGACATTTTATTATGTATCTCTCGAGCACACAGGAAATTATATAACATTTTTTTCTTAAATATTAAAAATTCTCTTTGGACAGCTGGACATTTAGCTTCTTTTTCTCAATCACTTTCTTTCTAAGGTCAAACATCAGATTTTTAATCAATTTTCCACGATTCCACGTTCGTTAAAAAAACTCGAGATATTGTAGGAAAAGTATATTCTTTAATTTAAAATCCGAGTTCACGTGAAATTGATCGATTAATCTTCGAGATATTTGCTCCGCCAGTCAATTATTAAAATATTAAAATTTCCTCTTATCAGCATGTTCTTGAAGCGTTGCGGAAACTGAAGAACGAACGAAAAAAAACATCAACCTTTTTAAAGTTCTAGACCGGAACCACCCCTTGGTACAAATCGCGGGCTTCTTCGTTCCGCTGATAGTCTCTCCCGCCTCTCTCTCTCCCCCTTTCCTTCCCCCCGTCGGCATTCTCCCGCGAGCCCTTTCTCTTCCTTTTGTTCGGACATTTCCTTGGGAGAGGGATTTTTTGCCCGCCGCGAGGAGATCTCTTCCTCTTCGTTTACAAGCTGCAACCCGAGGAAAAAGGTTCGACCGACTGAAAGCGGCGCTCCGGAGTGCCCACCGTTCGCAGTAACGATTTTAATTACGGCTAATTCTGTTGTCTTTTTACTTGACGAGAGATAACGACACCTGGCCAACAGGGGATTCATTAATTTTATTCGGGTATCCGTCTGGAACGATCCGCTCGAGCTTTATCTTCGCATTCAGATTCGCTCGATCCTATTCTATGTATTTTTATATTCGATTCATGGTGTTTCGATAATGCATACTCTTTCTAATGCGTTTCTTGCCTAATGCAACTTGTGCAGATTCCGGTCAACGATTGCGGCAGTGCAATGCGGCGATATTGATGTTATCGAATTTTTTGGTCGTGCTCCAGTTTCATAATTCTAATAATATTGGACGGGATAACGAGAGAAAGTTGCAGCAAGAGAAAAATAGTGCAATATACAATGACTCGTATAAGTGAAGAAGTGGACTTAATAGTGGACGAAATCGCTTCTATTTCTTTCGAAACGTTGGAGAGATTAGCTTGCTAAGCAACGTTTGTACAGTTTTTCTTTTATAATTACGATTGGTCGATATTCGTTATGACACGTCATTTTCTAACACAGTTTCATTCGAATCAACGATCACACAATTGTTTAACCATTGTCCAGTAGGCTGGTCCCTCTATCGTCGAAAAAGAATTCAAATTGATTCGTCCAATACGAAAAAAGTTATCCTGTTTTCATGGGTGTCCGAATATTAATGCGAATCACTGTATATTGCCATCCAGAATTTTTCTCTTCCTACTTTTTTCGTTATCCTGTCCAATATTATTAGAATTATGAAACTGGGCCACGAGCAAAAAAGTCGATGAAATTAATATCGCCTTATTACATTGCCACGATCATCGACCAGAAATGACTCGAATCTTTTTTCGCCGGTAGAAGAATTAGTCTACTCAACAATGGTTAAAAAATTGTATTCAAAATGATGAAATTGATTCGAATGAAACCGTGTTAAAAAATGATGTCTAACCGCGACAATAACAACGCGAATATCAACCAGTCGTAATTATAAAACAAAAATATTATAAGACATTGCTTAGTAAGCTAATCTCTCGAACGTCTCAAAACAAACAAAAAAAACAAAAAAATAGAAAAAAGGAAAGAATGGAAGCGATTTCGTGCACTTCTAAGAATGTTATTCCGTTCTGAAAGCTGCCCGAGTATACACGCGAGTCATCGTATTTTCGCGAGGCATTGTCGCAATCATTTCGCGATCAAATGCAACGGATGCAGGATCACGAGGCAAGAGGTTAACCCACCCCTAAATTCCCGAGCAAACTTGATGCTGCTGGGGGGGGGAGGGGGGGACGTGTAGCAAAAGTTGGACGCAAATGGCGGTAGCTCCGCATCCCTCGAACCCGAAAGTCCCTGAAACGTTTCGCCTCGGGGAGCTTTCCTCGCGACTTACCGAGCCGGGAGCTTCGAAAGTTTCTCTCTGAGCGTGTGCGTGTGCCTCCGTGTTCGCAGAGACCGAGACGGAGATCGTGAAGGCGAAACGGGCGACCCGGGAGCGGCCGATCAGTTTCACGAAAATGGACGACATAAAGAATCGCTGGGAGACGACCAGCCAGCAGGGCAGACGCAAGGTGCAGAGGGAGGCCAGGAAAGAGGAGATCGCGGGCATCCGTTCGCGGCTGTTCATGGTAAATCATCGATCCGCTCGTTAAACGAAAACACAAGTCGATTACTCTTCTTTCACTGATAAAGAAGAAGAGGCGTTCGCCGGCGTGTACTCGCGGGCAAAGTCGCGAAGTAGTCCGGGCTAATGACATCGTGCCCATTAGACGTAGACGCAGAAAAACTTCCCGGGAGGAAAATGTAGCGCAAGCAGTCTCTCGTGCGCGCTGAAACGCGGTGAAACGACGGACGATCGCCGGCGAACAATTTGCTTTTTTACTCGAATGATTAAAGGAAGCCTGCTCGCCTCGTTTTAATTCGTTTGCGGCCCGTTCGAGCCGAGAACACCGCTTTGTCGGCCGACCGGAGTTAGGCGACCGCCCAGAAGCCGAGGAACAGCCGGCCGCTTTTAAGCACACCGGCGAAACACCTTCAGTCCGGTTTCATAACTTAGCAGCTGTAATTTTCAATGTCCCACCGAGAAGCGACGAGTGAAACGTCGCGGTTTCTCTCGGACAAATTTTCACGTGCTTCGCATTCAAATGCTTTTCTTAACCGATCCCGTTCACCTGTCTCGCAAGCTGCCGTCAAAGTTTCGATATTTTTCATGCGTGAAAATTCATTCGGACGATCGTGCCGGTCATTTTTACGGCGATTTTCGACGATAAACATTTTCCGACGTGTCTCGAAGGAGTGAAATTTGTTCAGGGGACCATCTTAGCCATTCTCAGGCCGCTTTTTTCCAGGCCGCGTCTCACAGAGCCAGAATTTATTCAAACGACGATCATCGTCTCAGTCATTTTCAGGCTGCTCTTCCGCTTCGAACATCTTTTTATACACTTCAAATACTACGAATCTCTGTCGCGTCGACATTTTTATACGTATCTCAGCGAAATAGAATTCGTTCGAACGACGATCTTAGACGTCTTCTGGACATGTTCCGAGCACAGACATTTTCCGGCGCGTCTCAAAGAAGTCGGTCTTGCGTCGCCGGCTTTGTGTTTGCGGTTACTTTCGGTATAAAAGAAGTTCGATCTCTGTCGCAGGGCAAGCAGGGTAAAATGAAGGAGATGTACCAGCAAGCGGTGGCCGGAAGCGACCGTGTCACGAAGATCAACCCGGCCGAGGAGCTGCAGAACTCCTCCGCCCACGCGCGTTCCATCAAAGAACGTTTCGAGAGGGGCGAGCTGATCGCCGGCTCCGACGACGAGACGGACAACAAACCGAAACCGGAGAAGGCCGACGAGGAAGTGATCGCGGCAGGTGCGTGCCGCTTATATTTAGATTGCTATTCCATCTAATTAACCAGCACGGATTCGCCGGCGCATCGACGATTATTCACGCGATCACAGAACTTGCTACAATGTACGTACGCGAGGAGCGTGGTCGAATTTGCGGCGCGATGGAGACATCGCAGAAACGGAAAGGGGATCTAAAGCCGGCGATTATTTAGCCAGTTTGATGGCGGCTGCTGCGTCGAACCGAACGCCAAGAGTCTCTCGGATTGATCTATCGATCCGGCGTGTATTCGGGGACGTTTGTTCGGGGTCTTGAAATAGACAGGGCGCAGTGACGGCCAACCTGCGCTCGCACCGGCCCCCATTGATCCAGTCATAGTGACGCAGAGATGCTACATTTCGCCACGCGATCCTGTAAACATAATTCTCTTTCATACAGAGACAGTTGCGAGTTTCGAGCGAAGACGTCGTTTGGCAGTTTTCCTTATTTCATCGAGCTCTTCGTACTTTCTGTTTCATCGCGATGGAACGCGCGCGTGGGCTCTCCGTCGATAACGTTCACGACGCGGACGTGACGATAAGGCTATTTCCGAGATTAAGATCAACTTTCGTCTCCGTCCTCCTCGTTAGCCGCGGCGTGTCACAAACCCGGAATTTTCGGGAGCGTTCGCCCCGAAGCGTGTAACGGCACTCGAAATTACCGAGGTTCGACCCGGAGGAATTTCCGTGACACTTTCGAAGGTCGCGAAGACTCTGGAGTACAGAGTTTCGCGAAGAAATGATAAAAATATTGTAAAACCCCCGATAATTAGAAAATTAAAGAAGGAACATCGATCTAGAAATAAGACTGTTATGTCTTAAAAATATTAAGAAACCGTCATTTTCTCAAGGTACATCATTGCTAAAAAGCGTTAAGATAAAGTTAACATGCAATTCAACCGAGCTCGTAGTGCAAGTTTGGCCAGACCTCGCCGATTCAGCGATTAATTCTTACTCCTAATTAATAACTAACGAAACCCTTGTTTCGCAGGCATCAGCAGGAAGTCTAGATCCTTGTTCCTGGAGCTGGACGCCTCGGCAGCGAAAACCGGAAGGCCCGTGACCCCGGTGAACCCGAAGACACCCTCAGACACGCCCCGTCGCGCCAGAGACGTAAGTCTTTCGCTTTTGTTTTCCTCGATTTTTGTTTTTTAGTACCAAGCTAATAGTTGAACAGTTTCTACGAACGATTGTTCGCAATGTTCAACGGAGGTGCAGTTTTTTGCGAATGGTTAATCGTTTGATACCTGTGCGAACAAGGCGTTCATGGGTCGTCAAGTCTCGGACGACGTGGTGCGCAGCTCGGACACCACCGAGGAGGTCCAGGTCGAGACCTCGGACATATCGAACAAATTCAAATTTTTCGAGTCGTACAAGGAGCCGGAAAAACAGCGGAAGCAGTTCCGTATTACCCCTCCGCGAGACGGTCAAGTCAAGGTTCGATCGAGTGCAGAGTGCAATCTAACAATTAACAGGATTGTTGTGTGATTTAATCCTCAACCCTCTGCAACGCCGTTTCATAATGCAAGCATCCGGTCGGCGGATCTCTTCGATTCTCGTTTCACTGTAGTCGCCACAATTTTTTTTTAGAGAATTTCCGCGATTTTTGCACGCTTTTCCTTAATTCATGTTGCGTCTTATTTAAACGCCGGGAGTTTCTAACGACCGCTGTGAAATTTCGCGCGCGTGTAGCGCGCGAGATGATAATATTGCAAAAATAGATAGCGCAAATTTAACACTATGCCGTCCGGTGGCACCACGCTGGTGCCATGCAAAAACTATCTGTTGTACGCCGGTGGTACCACTTTGGGCCATTTTAAAAAACTGAAATAACATTTGAACTATATTTCTTGGGTGTTAAAAGGCAGCAAACTAACTATAGCATTGTGCTTGTTTAACTAAGAATTAAGCACGGAAATTCTTGGATGACTTATCTTAATTTTAGGAATTTATATTTACATATTATTATAATATAATATAATATTAATTTAATTATATTATTAATTAAATAATATAATATTAGGAATTTATATTTATATTACCGCCATTTTCGAAATTTTTTTTAAATCTAAAATTTCCAAGCTATTATGCCGGCGTCAAACGAAAGAATCATATCTAAGATCTGCGGAGGGCATAGTGTTAACGTATAATACACGGTTGCAAGATTGAACTTATATTGAAATACGTAAGGTTACAGAGGGTTAATTAAACTAGTTTTCTCGACGGTTCAGCTCGGTCCTAAACAATGCATGGATTAATACGTAACGAGAGCCCAGAAATTCCATTCCGGCGAAGATTGATTGGTCATTTTACGCGATCCTAATCGCATGGATTGTACCTGTCATAGTTACCCGATTGATCCTTCCCCGTCACACTGTTATCGATTCCATTAAAATATCGACCGACTCATAGCGTTCAGCAGAACCGGGTTACTCCGAATCACTGCCGAATGAGTCAAGCGTTTCGTAAATACGTTTCCAGCCGATAATATCGAAGGCCGATTATTTTTATCGAAACGCACGCGTTGCCTAAGCGTATCGTTGCTCAAGAGAAAGTGCAATTGATGGATCAGGCTATCAACGTTGACCGGTGCACGTCAAAATTCGACGCGGCGATATTACAATGTTCGCGTTCGAAGAGGAGCCATGGGGGACTCGCTGTACTTGTTCGACCCAATCCTGCCACTCGTATGTCACAGATGGCGCGGTTGGAGTGGGGAGGGCAATTAGTATGATCACCGTATTACTGTCTAATTAAATTGCGGTACAGAAGCGCGCGATATTTGCCGAGTAAATTGCGGAAATTACTTGAACGATTCTAAAATCATTTTCAAATGATTCGACGAACCCATTACAACGTTTGCACGTTCTGTTGCCTTTCTTCCTATCTAAAACTGTGTCTTTATAGTTACAATGAATAAATTAGAAAATAGACAATATCGAAAAGGAATTTAAATAGTTGGTAAATTCTGTTCGCGATAATTTCAATTACGTTAAGAATTTTCTTCTCAATTTTATTGAAACTTAAGAAGAATATTTTTTCACTTTTCATTTAATATCAGCGTTTTTTTAATTTTGTTCCGTTACAAATAGTGTTCACATTTATATAAATATATTAAATATAAAAACAGAAATATTTTATACACAGAGCTGCGGTAAATTAAATCGTCTGCACCCGCGCGTTTCTCCGAAAATAATTCGTAAGCCAAGAGCTTAATCGATCGTTTAATTTACTCGGTCGCAGAGGGACTTAACAATGTTCAAAAAATGTTTCCTTTTGTTCAGGAAACATTTCCCCTCGTTCGGACAAATTTTGAACTGCCGCAGAAAAACGCAGGCTGTTCCGTCGCAATCGAGGGTCGATTAAACGAAGAAATTCCGCGTGCGCGGGTCACCGAGGACCCGGCGGCGGTACGATCGAGTACCGGGAGATCGATGATCGAGCCATCGAGCAGGGGGGAGGGGGAGGAGGAGGGGGGTTGTTAATTACGGGAAGAGCAAACGATCGTGGCCCGCGAAAGCCTGCGAAAGCCCGCGAAGTGGCCGCCGCCACTTGATTCCGCCGCTGTCCTTGAACCCCCTCGAGTGGTCAGCAGCCATACTTTTACCGTTAGTATTCCTACATCCTTCCATTCGTGAAGAGAGCAGGCCGAGCAGACCACTGTGGCCCTCCCAGTAACTCACGAAGGGGGAACAGTAAGAGCTGTGCGTCCTCCTCGTGTGAACGGCATAGCAACACGCCGCGCGCTGCCAGTTCGGACCTCGCCGGCCCTCCGAGACAAAAGGCTCTCTCCCTTCTGACGGCTACGGCTCTCTTTTCTCCGTTCGGTTCAGTTCGATTCTCTCCTCTCTCCGAGCAACTCTCCGAGCGCAGTGAGTTTTTACGGGGCGCAGCAACGCGACAACGAAGGACACACGAAACGCAAACGTGAGTAGAACTTCTTCTCTGTTCGATCATTCGAGGCGAGCTCCTCCCCGAGGCCCCACGCTGGCCCCATTTTTTCGGCTCGTATTTCGGTGAATCGTCGTCTCGACGTTTAGGCATCTTTTCCACACGCCGTGAGTACGATTATCGTTTACAAAACAGATGCGTACATAGTCGCGCCGCGGACAGGTGTCGAATTTTTCGAGGCGGTTTTTTAACGGTGCACGCGAGTGGCCACATTTTTCTTTCTTCTTTCGCCGGATCGTCGAGGTTTCGGCGTCCTCTCGTACGCCGTGAGTACAATTATTTGAAGGAAATCGACGGAATTCGGTTGTTGGGGAGCCTAAAATCTTTTCGAGCGAGATTTTTAACGGTGCACGCGAGTGGCTCCGTTTTTATTTCTTCTTTCGGCGGATCGTCGAGGTTTTCTAGCGTTCGCTCGTACGCCGTGAGCATAATTATTTTAGGAAAATTAATGGAGATTTAATTGCAGGGCTCGGGAATTTTTGTAGTCAAGCTTTTACGGCGGATGTTTGTGGCTCCGTTTTATTTCTTCTTTTGGCGGATCGACGCGGTTTAGCGTCCCTTCGTACACCGCGAGTATAATTATTTGAAAGGAATTGGCGGAATTTAGTCACCGAGAAGCACGGCATTTCGCGAGCTTGATTTTCAGCGGTGGACGTGAATCATTTTTGTTTCTTCTATCGGCGGATCGTCGGGATTTAGCGTTATTTCGTATATTGTGAGTATAATTATGTTACAGGAATTAGTGGAGTCGAGTAACATAGAAGTTCAGAATTTTTGGAGATTTTTTATGATTGATATTTGCGGCTACATTTTCTTTTTTTCTTTTGGCGAATCGTAGAGATTTAGGCTTTTTCTACATATTGTGAGTACAATTCTCTCACAGAAATCAGTGGAATCGAATGATCGAGAAGTACAGAATTTTTTGGAGCGAGTTCTTTTTTTCTTTCTTCTTTCGATTTATTTTCAACGTTTGACCTTCTTCTACGTGCTATAAACGAAATTATTATACAAGAAAAGTTACTGAATGTAGACGAAAATTGAGATCTTTTTCGGATAACTTTTTTAAAGACGAAATTTGGTAATATCCTTTCGCGTTTCTTCGATATTTAATGATTCATCGGCGTTTCGATTTTTTCCGCACACACGTCGAGTGAAATTATAATATCAAAAAAATTAGTGGATATCGTAGAATAACTGAAAATTCCGTGGTTTATTTTTTTAATGCTGCACTCGAGTTGTCATTGTCTATGTTTGTTCGTATTTGGACGGATCGCCTTAAAAATTACGACGATACGAACGAAAACGTTGGAAATTAAGAGTCACAGAAGCATGAAGCACACCTTTAAGTATATTCTTTTTGGCAGTTGAGCAACGTGTCCTACTTCCCGGTCTTTATCCTTTCGCGAATATTTTTTAGTCATGCTCGTTTCGGACACGGTAGGGACAAGTGGGTGAAAGAGTATCCTTAGAAAACAGCTGGAAATCGTCTAACAAAATGATCACAAATGTTTACCGTTCTCTACCATTCAAAACGATTCATACATAACAATTTACTTTTTATTCTTAACACGTTCCGTGCCACGTGTACCATCCATGGTACACGCTTGCATGTTTACTTAGTGAACTGAACAAATTGTTTACAAGAAATTTAGAACCGAAGAATCAATTTCCACCGCAAGAATGGGCGTTGATAAGTTTTTGTTACGTTGTTATGTGTACGAGAATTAATAATTGCACGTAATACATCAAGTTTTAGTAAAATATCAAAGTATGAAGATTCGAGTAAAAAAAGCTCGGCACGGAACGTGTTAAGAAACGAACATCTAAAATAATTTCTCCAATCGAGACGGACAATTTTAATCGACGCAAAGATCCGCAACACAGAATCCGTACATAGGATCGTCGGTGAGAAAATGCATTCGAGGGTTAGAGGCCGGAGTCCCACGGATCGTCGGTGCTAAAAAAAAAATCGTCGGCCCTTCCCCGATTCCTCGAAACATCGGTAAACGGTGTAATCGGCGCAGAAAATTGCCAGCTTTCTCGTCTCCCCGCCGTAACGGTACAACAAAGTCGATACAGTTGACGCGCGCGGATGCATATGCGCACGTCGCTTTCCTTTCGACGAAAGCGCACCCCGCTCGAAACTACAAAGAAAAAAGAAGGAAAGGAGCAGAAAGAAAAAAAAACGCAACAAGAGGAGAAAAAACCACAGAAGTTTCTTCTCATCGTCGGGGCACAAAGACCGCGTAAAAAGGTGTCTCGCCTTGCAGCGTTCGGCAAAGCGGACGCGAGCTTGGCCTCGCTCGCTCGCTCGCTCTCAAACGAAATCTTTCAACGAGCGTTCGTCGAACAGATAAATCATTCGGCCTCTCTTTCTAAATAACAGCCGGCGAAACGTCATTAATAAAGATCCGTGCGAGCAGCCCGAACTAATTAGCTTTCTCCGGCTGTGCTTCTCTATCAATTTCGTCGATGCTCGGTGAAACGGTTTCGGCCGGCCCCAGTGTTCACCGAGCTGGCGACCATGCTGGACGCGATGTTTCGCTCGTGGCGCAGACTGTCCCAGGTAATACCGCAAAACACCGCCGTGCTGGACATTGTCCGGGCGGTTCTGCGTTGTCATCGGGCCCCCTGCCTTCTTTACCTGGCCACGGTTAGACAAGCGAGAACGCCTCGCGCCGCTGACTCAGTCCGCTCGTTCCTGGAAAGTTGCACCTTTATCCCTCGATTTCCTGCACCGCCGCCGTCCTCTTTCCACGGTTGAAACGCCCGCCGGAATTCTCCCTTCTGCGACCCCCCCTCGCCCTCCTCTTCCATCGTGCTTATTCATTTGCCTACGCTCGGTTGTAATTTGCTCGAAGAAAAGTCTCTGTCCCGTGTGCTCGTTCCCCTGAGAACGCACGAAAGGTTAAATGCCGGGGAAATTAGCGTTTCGGTTTCAATTGAATCGTCCCGGTAGCTGGGAACCGGACTTCTCGCCGGCTTCCAACAATGTCGAAAACAATCCTGCGCCGCGCGCCGGCTATTGTGCCACGCGAACTTTTCATTGTCCGGTCTCGGTTCCGTAAAAATGTCCATTCGAGACATTCGTGCTCGGCTCTCGCTCCGGTGGAGTCGCGTGGGTGTTCTCCGCTTTTGCATCCCGGAGCAAGGTTGATTCAGGTACTGCTGGAACAAGCCAGCGGGGATCGGAAAGAATATCGTCGGAAGGGAACGGAGAGACGATGTTCCCTTGTTGCACTGATTTCACAAAATTATTACGAAATATTGATCGTCGTTTTCGACTCGATAGACATTCTCCGTGCGTGTGTTTGATTTTTTTTTTTTTTGAAGAAAAAGGAAACTCTGTGTTCGCTTAATTTTTTGAACAAAGAGGAAACTGTGTGTTTGCTTAATCCTTCAAAAACAAAGTGGAAATCGTTGTTCAATTACTCGAAGAAAGAGGAGACTGTGTTTAATTATTTGACGAAAGGAGAAATCGTGTGCTGCAGACTTCTCGAGTTTAAAGAAATACAGCTTGTAAAACACGAGCGGCAATATAGAAAATCAGCGAAATTTCACGCTGAAGGTCGTGCAAAAATTAAACAGCTTTGATTTTCGCCCTAACTCATTTTTAAAGACAATTACTGCTTCATTTTTGTGGTACAGAGTGTGATCGAAAGTACGAAACAAGAAGTAATCAACGATTACAAAAATTAACGATTGTAACACATTGTTAATCGTTGTAAATGATTGTGTATTACTTATAATAATTAACGAGTTACAATAGTTGTGCAATTTAATAATCGTAACGTCGCTATTTATCGTCTTTCATTTTTAAACTGAATCAAGATAGAAACGTACTCGAATAATATCTACTAATAGATGTAAAAAGGAAAACATAAAAAATTCGATAAACAAGCCAGATTTAGACACTGAACGTTTGCAGAATAAAAGGGGCAGAAAAACTTTTTTTTCCCTGAAGGGGCAGAATTTTCTCCTCGCACTTTCTATCTATATATGAGCCGTTTATTTTGAAAGTGGCCTAAGTCACTTTGTTTTTAAATCGATATATTTAAGGGTTTGCGTTTTAGCACGTTTAAAAATATGGATGCTAACTTTCAAGAAGGTTTACTTGTACTTGTTATCTCAGGATACTAATATTTTTCTCAGTATGAATAATTTCGTATAAACATTAAAAGATCACCACTTTTCATTACGGTAAAGTGACTTATGCCACTTTCAAAATAAACGGCTCATATATCTTCCGCGATTTATTCGATACTGATCCATGGATCTTTCGGCAGATGGATTCCCCCGAGCGCGAGATCTACCGCGATCCAGACGTGGTGCGTGCCGAGGACAGGGTGGACGAGGTGGTGCACACGGACACCGCGAGGAAGATGCTGTCGATCTTCAGGCAAATGGAGGAGAACGCGACCAAGAAGGAGGTACCAAAATTCCCGAAGCCTTTGAAACGGTTCACACCACCCCCGGAGGACAAATACGAGAAGCCGCCTATGTCGGGCTCCGAGGACGAGGAGGAGGAGGAGGGCGAGGAGTCGGAAGGCGAGGACAGCACGGAGGAAAGGGATCCTAACTACGTGCGAGCTTCGGATAAGGTTCGTTTACGTCGATCGGCACTCGTTGCCTCATTGTTCTCCGCGCGGAAAATGCTTGCGTTTATTAGCCGTAGCAAGATGGAGCCGACGTCGCCGAGAGAGATTCTCGCGGATTGAATATGTATGAGGCTGGCAGAGGGGACCGTCGGTGGCTTCGAAGTCGTCGCTCGGATTCCTCAAATGTCCGATCTTTATCACGACGTTTTCGCTGCGAAAATATTTCTGGAATTTGTCTACTCGATCTTCGCATCCTGATTATTTCTGTAACGCGCATTTGTCGAGGACAGAGATTTGCCGATTCGATCTTGCAATTTAATTATGTTGCGTTTCGATTGCACGGTAGTTCAACTACGTTGAAAGCCGATTTTATGCAATTGAAAGCTTTCGGTTAATTTGATAGATAATTCTTTTAATCGCGTAATCGTGTAATTCAAATACAATGTAATTGATATGCAATGCAATTATATGCAGTGCAATTATATGCAGTGCAATTATATGCAGTGCAATTGAGGTACAATGCAATTGGGATACGGTGTAACCGATACACAATGTAACTGAAATGCAACGTAATTGATATACAATCCTTTAAATTACGTTCCAGAACTTTGAATAAGTGGGATACCATTTTTTATCTTCTCTTCGCGTACTTCTTTCTCTTATTACTTATTAATTTATTAATTCTTAATTCGCGAGTTCAATTCAGTTTTATCGCAATTCCTAATTGTACTCCAATTGCAATCGCGAGTTGCATTGTAATAATTTCATCGAACGGAGATCCGAATCACGAGTTACAATATGACTGAATTGTAATATAATTGAATTACCTCGTGATTGTAATGCCTTGAGTAATTCAATCGTAATTCCGCACAGCTCTGATTGAGAACGAGATTTGAGAAGATTCCAAGAAAATCTGCTAGATAATTTTACGTTGAACCGTTTGCTCCTAAAAGGTCACGCAGATATCGGAATTAATTTTGCAACAGCGACACGAATGCTGTTCGTCTAAGAACGATAACATTAGTCGAACAATAATTCGAATAAAAATCTCGAATAAAAATGTAGAAAGTTCGTTTGGACACAGTTGATTAGAAGAACATGATTACGCTTTCAGAAATGAACGAATAAAAACGTCGAGTTTCTTTCGGCGAAATAGAGCGCAGGTTTCGAAAGGTGTCGAAGTATACATACATAGAACTCTTGGTTCACAAAGCGTCGATCAGGCAACGAGCACGAAATTATATCCCCGACGATAATAATTTCAGTCCGGAGACCATAGTCCCAAGAATGCCGTGCGGATTGAATGTAAAAGATTAGCCGGCGTTGATTTAATTGGAGCTCGCAATCACAGTGTTTACACAGCGATTCGAGGCATCCGTTCAATTAGTACGACTACACAACAAAGATGAGACAAGATAACTAGAGGGAGAGGGGGAGGGGGAACTTTCTTTCGGCAGGCGCATCAGTCTCGTATTACCGCTCGAATGTGATAAATGATGGACATTATACTAGCTTTCTTCGAAACCGATCGTTTCTGCTTCAGACTGCCGACTAATGACGCTGACTCGTTAATACCTTTCGAGTCCGGGCAATTTCCCTCGGGGAGATATTGTATTATTTAGTGACTATAACGCGGTTCGCAGTTAGGCCGTTTATAGCTTCGTAACACGTGCGTGGACTGTCGAAGTAGATTAAAATGTTTGAATATTCTAGTAGAAGCCGTACGATATATCGCGACCGTGTTAGCACTGCGATGGAATCGTTTCAATTGGCACGTTGCTGGCAATTAATTAGCACGTTCGAGGAACAGTTGCATATCTCTCACGCCATATTTTCTTCACCTAGATCCCGTTTCGAAATTCTAGATGAAACACTAATCGCTCGAGTTGCCAACGTTATAATTCGATCACGTTCTGTAACAGGACGTTCATTTTTCTTTTCATTATTCAAATCTTTGGCGCAAAGTTTAGCTTTCCAAGGAGAATAATCCTAGAAAAAATAGTCTTTTTTACAGAGGTTCAAATTATCTGAAAAATTAAGCAAAGTTTCTAATTCATAAAGAGACACTGTGTAGCAGGATACGCTGTTCATTCTTCTCATTTTTCTAATTTTTGGTGCACATTTTGATTTCCCAAGGAAAACAATTCTAGAAAAATAATCTTTTGCAAAGGATTAAATTATCTGAAAAATTAAGCAAAGTTTCTAGTTCATAAAGAGACACTGTATAGCAGAATACGCTGTTCATTCTTCTCATTATTCAAATTTTTTGTGCACATTTTGATTTCCCAAGGAAAACAATTCTAGTGAAAATAATCTTTTGCAAAGGATTAAATTATCTGAAAACTTAAGCAAAGTTTCTAGTTCATGAAGAAATTCCGTATAGCAGAATATACGCTGTTCATTCTCTCCATTATTCAACTCTTCAGTGCATACTTTGATTTCCATAGGAAAACAATCCTCGCAAAAATGATCTTCTGCAAAGTGTTAAAATATCCGAAAAATCAAGCGAAGCTTGTATTTTCGTAAAGAGTCTTTCCCCGTGAAGAATCGTCGTACAAAATCCATCGGATTCTGGTGAAAGAAGCAGAGCCCGAAGATTCCTCTTGGCTCGTGACCCGAGAAACCAGCGAGCGAGCGTTCTTCCAGGTGCTAATGAATTCCGCTTTCATTAGAAAGAAGAAACGCTTGTTCGTGCGAGCATGTTAACGACGCCGGTCGTAGGATCGGCGGCGTCCGGCGATCCTTTCACGGCTATAAAACTGAACGACCGCTTGTTACAGGTGGAGGACGAGTTCCTGAAGCAGGCGCAAAATGCGGCGCGCGCGAAGACACTGTGCGCGAAGTTCGAGCACTGGGACGAAACGGACGCGAAGGCGGTCACGTCGAGCAACCAGCACATCGCCGAGATGGAGATCGCGCAGAACATCGGCGAACAATCGAGCATAGAATCCGCGAGCAGTCTAAGAGCCCGCTTCGAGTCCCTCGGCTCGCAACAGACTGAATCCCCGCGCACGACCAAGGTCAAAGTCAATCGATTCGTGGTGAGTACGGCCTCGTAGACTTCCCTCATCCGCCTTCATCCGGTTCTCATTCACAGAACACTGTACAACACGGTCATCTCTTTCACTCTAGCCTGTCGCCGGAGCTCGAGCGAAATTGCTTCGCTGCTCAAGGTCGACCCCCGTTTTACTTCGGTGTGAAATCATAAGGATGCATTAGGGTTGAGTCCAACGAGGGCCTCTAGATCAATGGGATTATACGATTTTGTCAAGGGATTGTGTTTTATAGTATTTGAAATTGTTCGAAGTTGTTTGACATTGTTTAGAGACCAACGAGGGCTTTAGATCAATGGGATTATACGATTTTTTCAAGGGATTGTTTTCTATATTGTTTGAAATTGTTCGAAGTTGTTTAACATTGTTTAGAGATCAACGAGGGCCTCTAGATCAGTGAAATTATACGATTTTTTGAAGGGATTATTTTTGATATTGTTTGAAATTGTTCGAAGCTGTTTGACATTATTTAAAGTCCAACGAGGACCTCTGGATCAGTGAAATTATACGATTTTTTGAAGGAATTATTTTTGATATTGTTTGAAATTGTTCGAAGCTGTTTGACATTATTTAAAGTCCAACGAGAACCTCTGGATCAGTGAAATTATACGATCTTTTGGAGGGGTTATTTTTTACATAGTTTGGAATTGTTCGAAGCTGTTTGACATTGTTCAGAGTTTCAAAATTTATTTATTTAGTGTACGGTCGAGTCAGAAACCGTTTAGGCTTTCAGGAATATTTCTATACCATTGATTAACGTGATATCATTTCTTTTCCTGCTCGAACATGTCAAACACGAGTAAATCATTTGAATCCAACTTCTCTATCTTGAACATTTCTGCACATAAGTTCGACCTTTTATCCATTTTTCCAAAGACACCTGGTCTTTGTTACCATTTCGTACCGAATAACCTTTACACCGGTGAAGAAAAATATTCCAAAGTTGCACCACGAGTTACCATTTCGTACTTGCACTCGTCGCAAAGAAAGGTAAAAAGAAGCGAGGACTCGCGGAGTTCGTCTAAACGACGAGAACGACTACAGAAGGCTAATCGATTTCGTTCGAAGGAAGGCGACGCTCCACTCACCCCACACCAAGCACAGCACACAGCCACCCTCTCCGCCCCTCAGTGTCGTGTGTGTTTTCTCCGCATGGTGTGTCGTAAACTTGTGCGTACCCTGTCCGCTTCTCCACGGTCTCTTCTTTTTTTGTTCTAAAATTTACGAGCGTGTGCTTATGCGTTTGCGTGTACGTTTGCGTGTGTGTGTGTGTGCGCGTGTGTGTGTATTTCTAAAAGCACGATTCACGGCGGTGTCGCGCGAGCGACCGGACACCGTCCGCGACATTGCACACCTGTGTTTCAGTTGGGCGTTTCTGTATTGTTTGATCGATTTTCAACCGCGGTTCGCCCGCGGACGGTCTTTCGTAACCGCGTGCACGCAGACTTCTGAGTTCCGGGAGAGTTCGCGAACGCACGTCCGACAGAACTTTTGTTTCGTTTTCTCGGTGTACATAACGGAAAAGTGAGGCGAGCGACTGCTGGGCGACCGGTTTCCTTTGCGCGGCCAAAGGAAAGGTCGACGAGCAACAGAAATGTCGAAGGTCACTGTCACGGAACGAAAAAAAAAAAAGAAAAAAAAAGGTCAATGTCAAAGAAAGAACAAACGACCAGCGTCGAAAGAACCGCTCGTGTCACGTACATTTCTGCCAAAAAAAAAACAAAAAAAAACGAAAACAAAAAGCGACAAAAGCATGATTAGTGTTTGCCCGCGTTTGACGAGTTCTGCCCCTCCACGCATTTTGGTCTTGCGATTGACGTTGAGAGCCTGCAGTGTTGTCGACCGGCTTGCCCGTCGCCTGGATGGATCATGATCGATTCTCTGTTGATCGCGAACAGTAAAGAACCACACGAGCAGCGACGTCGAGGATCCGAGGAGGAGGAAGCGGACAAGCGAGACGATCACTCGAGCAGGAGGATCACCGAGGAACAGAGGAGGATCGAGGAGGATCGCGCGCCAACGCAGGAGCATCACGAACTCTCTCTCTCTCTCTCTTTCTCTTTCTTTCTCTCTCTCTCTCTCTTTCTCTGATCGTTGGGATCTCGCGTTGATCCACGGTGATGCCACGTTGTCCGGATCATTGTGCGGTTTTTACTGGTCTTTTCTGGGTTTTTCTTTTTCTAGAGGTCTTTTCTGACAAGCGTTCTCTTAGCGAATCTAGCGTTAGGGTTGTGTACATTGTTGCGTGCGGGGGTACGTCGGCCGTTCTGCACCCGGAACTCTGTAGATCTAACACGATGGAATTGATGCTGCTCTGGCCGTGGCCTAGATCTCGCTGCTCCGTTCGATCTTCGAGTGATCCAAGAACTGCTGGCTCGGGTCGTCGGCTTCGATCTTCAGCCAGGCAATCTGGGTCTCTGACTTAGGCCATATTCAGCTAGCTCGGATCATTAGCAAATCTTCGTTGGATCCGCGATCCGGCGCTAGCACGCGTCCTTTCACCGGTTCGGATCGTTTGGCTGGCTCGTGCCTCCAGCTGTAATCTAGATTTATATATATATATATCAGCTAGCTTCCACTAGTCTAAGTTGTTAGCGAATTGAAATCTTTAGTCGTACTTGGGTATTGCGAGCCACGTTGGGTTCTTTAGCTTCCCGGGATTCTTAACCAGCTTGGACCTCGAAGCAGCTTCGGGTCTTCTAGCTGATCGTCTTCGGTGTAACCCCGAGTCACCAGCTGGCTCGTGGCTTTGTCTAGTTTTTTGGGTTCTCGGCTAGTCTAGGTCGGGTTTGTACGGCCAATCGAAGTCTCGGACTTTCGTCCAAGGTGACAAAGTCCTCTCGGACGTTAGCTTGAACGCGGCGAGATAACTGAGCCCTGCAGCGAGCCCTGGTCCACGCCGAAGCCCACGGTCTAACCGAGCGCGGTGCCTAAACGTTTTCAACGCACGCGGACCGCTCGACGTATCCGCGTCGCAGCGAGCGTAAACTATCGGGCTGGACTAACTTTTCGAAGCCAGTCAGTTTTTGCACGAGACCATTTGTAACCACTATTTTCGAGGGAGTTCGCGCGAGAGACCGCGAAGGGAACAAAGCTCCAGCGACCTGGAGACGACTATCTAAAATCACCCGCCACTCGTGCCAAATCAAGCATCCGACACCTCCGAATTTAACCTGAAAACCCCCCTTAAGGAACCGGCGATCCCGCGCCGCCAGAAACCGACAAACGAACGAACCAAAAAAAAAGAAAAGAAACAAATAAAAAGCGTAATCGGTCGTCGCAAATTGGTGCCAAAAGTGTCGCGACGGGCTTCGTTCCCTCGGGCGAAATTTAGAATCTCTGCGAGTGCCAAGCGACGGGAACCGACGAGGACGAAGAGGAAGGAAGCGTTTCTTCGGAGTTTGTCAGCTACGCGCGAATTGTGCAGTGACTCAGAGATATTTGTTTGTTGACGTCGGGAACACGCGCACGACGACGACGACGACGTCGTGACTCGGGATATAATGTATCATAGAAAGACGTCGCGACCGAGAGCAGACGCAGCCGTCTAATAACGACGCTTCCGCGCGATTCGAAGATCGTCGTTCGACGAGCTCGAGCAAACCTGTGAGTCACTGCGGATGCGAAATGCGCCGGCATTTTCGAACGCTTTACAGAGTTTCGAGTCATTTTTACCGCTTGCTAGACGCAGGACATCGGGGACCGTCAGCCGGTAGAAAGACGAGTCGGGGAGCAAAGAATCGCGAGGACCCCTCGCTGCTCGGAAAAAGTTCGCCACGCGTCTTTTCCGCGCGGAAAAGTTCGCGGCACGTTCCTCTCCTATCGGGAACTACTCGCGGCGGGTTGTCGCAAAAGTTCTCCGAACAACCGGAGCTTGAAACGTGGCAAGCAGACTGCGGATCCGCGCGTCGGCGACGACGCTGTTCTCGGTTCCGTCTCGATCGCGAGGGAAACGAAATATGATTAGAGCTCTATGAAATAGAGCTCTAAAATGGGAATTCGCGCGATGAATTCGCAGCGACGCGATAATTGTTAGCACCTAGATTTACGGAGCACGAAAAACAGCTGTTTCATGTTGATTTATAAAAGGTAATAACGAGACATTTATTCTGATTTTTAGCAAGTGTTACTGCAACGTTTGCCGTGAGTAACGTGTAAATTAGCGATCCGCCATTTTCACGGGTTCCGTGAATCTAGCGTTAAGCGAATCTAGGATCGCGTTGACAGCTTTCGCGACAACCCGGCGTTTTCCGGAGGGGTCAGAGGCGCGTCACAGTTTCGAGCTCCTCGTCGTATGATCCAGCCCAGTGAATTGAATGAGAACACACAGTTCGGAAAACACACTTGGTTCCTTCGTTAGGGAATAAAACAGACCGGCCTCTCGAGTCCGCGAGGCGAGCGCCCATCGAACGAAATAGGCTTTTTATAATTTTTATATGGTGTTCAGTGGGTGGACGATACACGGGGGTGCCTCGCGGTGGTCCTCCGAGTCCTCCGCAGTGGCGTGAACCCGGCGGGAGGGCTGGTATCGAGTCCTTCAGCATTGCCAACGCGGACGCACAGTACGCATAACATACTCGTAATACTTACAAATTAATATATATATTAATATATATATAATATATTATATTATAATATAATATATAATATATATAATATAATATAATAATATATTAATATATAAACGACGTGTATATCGAACCCCCGAATCATTTAGCGCGCCAAGTCGGGACGGGTAGCCGTCGAAGAAGCTTAATCCGATCTTCTTCGACCGATGATCCTGCGATCTCGGATCCTTCGACCGATGATCCTGCGATCTCGGATCCTTCGATCACGGTTCGAGCGATCGAGGTTCTAGATTCGATGCACAGCGCCAGCGGACGTTGAAACGACTTTGTGTTCTCGGTCGCGCAGACATTTTGTTTCTTTGCAATTGCACAGTAATGTCTCCCTTACTGACGCTCAGATTGTCCACTAAAATGAATAATTTGGGAGAAAGAGATACGATTGTTCGAGCCTTGCGGCACGTTTTTATAATTGTGGAGAATTTATAACTATAAAAATAAACCGCAAGGCTCGAATAATCGTATCTCCTCTTCCGAAATTGTCCATTTTTGTGGTCGGTCTGGACGTCGATTGGAGAGACATTGCTGTATTCTGATTCGATGTGCAATTTGAGAAGTCTCGAATCTCATCTTTTGTGATGACGCAATCCTTTCGAAAGTGGACCAAACGAGTCGCGTTTCTTGAACAAACGATTAACGTTAATATAGATTTACAATTTACGAACGTCGCCGCGGACGCTGGTTAGAAAAACAGCCGCGAGTCGAATCGACGCTGTCCGAGGCCAGCGTGACAGCTTCTCCGCGATTAACGAATGAAATCGCATTACTTATTGGAATCGCATCGATCGGAGCGATTGCGAGGCAGGTGCGCACGGTCCCGTTCCGACGAGCCGGGTCAGGTGCAAGATCTAGAGGCATTAGTGATTTTTTTAATCAAAAGAAACCAGACCTCCGAGTATTACATAGAGAGATCGAAGGGTATAGATTATATAAATTCGTATATATATACATATTCTCTACACGATTTGATCGAGCGATCTACCATACTTCTTTTTCTTCCCCCATCGAAGGAGCTTGGTCCCCCATGATCGATATTTCAGTGCAATAAGTTTCTGTATTCAGCGAGGGGAATCGTTGTTGTTTGAGCCACGCGAGCGCGATTGTTTGTTGTTGATCGGCGGATAGGAGAATATTTATATTAATATCACACACATACACGTACACACACACACACACACACACACACACACACACACACATACACGCACACACACACACACACACACACACACACACACACACACACACACACACACACACACACACACATACACTCTCTCTCTATTTCTCTTTTTCTCTTTCCGCCCCTTTTCACTCACTCACTCTCTCTCTCTCTCTCTCACACACACACACATACATGAAATGTCCGCGAGTGGGATTTATTTTGAAGCGAAACCGCGCTTGGTTCCCGGCCTGCTCCGCCGAGACATGATTATTAATTATTATTATTAATTATTATTATTAATTATTAATTATTATTATTACTATTATTAATATTATTATTATTTCACGTAGACCCTCGTTTGCGTCTTGGGATTGTATAATTTTTAGCGACTTGTACTCTTGTTCTTTACCTTTTACCTTTCACGTGTAACGATTTATTACGATCGTATTGCAAACGATAAATAAAAGGGCACATCCTGACGAAATACATAGCAACCGATGCGAGTACCACGACTGCATTTCGGTCGAACGAACGATTGCTCCGAGATGGTTGTGTCAAGGTTTTTTAGGTTCGACAAAATTCAAAATTCTTACGATTAATCGCTCTTACGATTCAATCGACTTTTCGCGCGCTAAAAGCTCGGAAATTTCTCTCGAACGAGGACCCAGACGATAGCATTCGTTCGTTTCGCCTAACTGCACCGCGCGCAAATTACGCGCAAGTTCTTAAAAAGACTCGATAGGAACGATGAAACCGTGTTTCGTTCGCTCGGGTGCGACGATCCCGAAGGAAAGATCCTCTGAAAATATAACTCTTTCTCTCCCTAGTGTCCCGTTTTTTGCGACGTTCCCGAATCACCAGGGACCATCGCCTCGCATTCTCCAGACCCTCGGTAACAAGGGAACACTGTAGATGACCGATCCCCGAAGCTTCTAACAGCCCCCCCCCCCCCCCCCCCCC